CCCCCGCCGGGGTAACGGGGAGGGCGGGCGGCTGCGGCCCCGCGCCTGGGGCTCCCCCGCAGCGGTTTGACCGCGGGGCGCTGGGGGCCGTTGTCCGTCCCGCTCCACCTCTCACACGCCTCCCCGTTCTCTTCCTCGTACGTGAGCTGCCGCAGGCGCCGTTCCCGCCCGGTCATGCTGGTGAGCAAGAGGGTGAAGCGCCTCTTGCAGCTGGTGCCCGGGAAGCAGCGCTTCGGCGTGTACAGGTTCCTGCCCTTCTTCTTCCTCCTCGGGGGAGCGATGGAGTGGTTCATGATTAACGTCCGCATTGGCAAGGAGACCTTCTGTAAGTGAGGGCCGCGCCGCCGCGGCTGGGCCCGGCGGGGGGCGGCAGGAGGAGGCGCGGGAAGCGGCCCCCGCTCGGAGCCGGTACCGTGTGCCACAGCACCTGCGGGCGGTGAGCGCAACGGCGGCCCTTCCCTCGGCCCCAGCCAGCAGTTGGCAGGGGCGGATGGTGGGTCCTCACCGGGAGGACTGCAATCAGCAGGTCACCCGCTTCCCTCTCTAGTGCAGGATGTGACACTCCACGTTTTGCCTCCCTAGCAGAAGACACTGGGCAGAAACAAAGAACCCCCGTGTTTAGAATACTAAATTAGGGGGGTTTACATTGAAAAAGACTCACCAGGGTTGCCAGAATGTAAGCGTAGGTGCGGGTTCATCTGAAATGTGACTTTTTAAATTGAAAACGAAGTATGAAGATGAGTCATGGGAACTTAGCTAATGGTACTTAGTTTCTAGGAGCTAAAGCATTTAGTTTTCATGTGGCGTTCTTCCCTTTAAGAAACCTTGCTAGAAATTTTTGTGTACTTCAGAAAAGGGATCAGCTCTAGCGTACGTTATATGAGAATATTCTCATTTTCATAGGAAATCTAGTTAAGTCTCCTGCAGAATAAAACAGCTTGATACAATTTCCATAGCTGACAAGCTCACTGCAAACAAAATTGCTTCTTTGCTCATTTCCTGAAGCTTGGGTTTGTTGTGGCTTTTCAGTTTAATATTTGAGGCATACCTGTGTAGTAATAAAGTCAGGTTAGAAACTAAGGCACAATATCTGTGTAGCAGCTGTTATATTTCAGCCTGAGCCTTATTTTCCTGAAAAAAAATATGCTATCCCTAAATGATACTATACTACAGTAATAGTAATTGTGCAGTTATTACTGCTCCATAATCCATGCAAAGTTACAATGTGCAAGACCGATAACCTTTTTTTTGGTCAGTGGGAGATATTATTTGGTGATGGATATTTAGGGGTAATCAGGGTGAGGGGAGGCAAGAAGAACGACCAGGAAGACTATGAAGGTGGGTATATTCCTGTGTTTTGTTTATTTAAAAAAAAACAAAAAACACCACACAGCTAAAATACTGAAGCCATGCTGGCAGTCCTCAGGCATTGACTTTGTGCCTATAATTTAATTTCCCTTTGGCTTTAGCTAGTTTGGGCATTTGTATTTTTAATTACTGTCATGGGAAAGTAGACAAGAAGTGACTGTATCGCACTGGAAACTTAGTTTTCCTATGAAAACATTTTAGCAGGGCTGATGGGAAGAACTTTAGCCTGAATGGGAGAGAGAACATGAGCTATTTTGAAGTGGTAATAAGGATTTGCGTTGACTTGAATTTTCAGTTGCTTGTCAGTCAGTGTCTGCAAGAGAAAACTGGATAGAAAAGTTTAAAAAGAGATGACAGGCTTCATACATTTAATACTGTCTTGCACTTGGAAAACACTAATATAAAAAAAATCTTTTTCTGGCAGATGATGTTTACCGTAGGAAACGATCTGAAAGACAGTATGAGGCAAGGATGGAAAAAAATGAATTTTAGCTGAAATGTTTCAAGGGGAAGGTCCCGAACGCTTCAACTGTATTCATACCAAAGAAGCATTACTGCCACGTTGATGGTAGGGGAAGATTTTTGTCTCTGCAAGATGAACTGTAATCCACAAGTTTGTGTAATACACTCTCAGATGGTTTTGGCAGTTTTATTCTACTTCCATCTACTTCATATCTTTGTATTTGGCTTAAATACAAAATATTAATAGCTGAAAGTTCATTGTGTTTAGGCCTCTGCCACTTATTTAATGTTTGTTCAGTACTTTTAAATAAACTAAGGTGAGTGAACAGAGTCTGGCTAGTGCTTTTCTTTGCTTGATGAAACACCACTGTGACAAGACGGAGGGGAAAGAAATGTTACATATTGCATACATAATATCTCAGCACAATGGAAATAGTAATTTTTAGTTGGTTTCCTTTGTACTGATAGAAACTGCTCTGGCATCTGATTTGTTTTCTTTCCAATGTGGCATGATTTTAACTAGATAAAAAGAGGACAGTCTTTAGTGCTCCGTGTTTACTCAGCCCACACTGTTTGGAAAGTCACCCGTGCATTCAGGCTCCACTGCCTACAAGTGCTGTAATACCCATTATTGCTACTCTAACAATGAATTGAGCTGAGGGCTTGGGGGGGGGGGCGGGGGGGGCCTGGTGCGGTTACATGGTATTCAGCTCATCGACAGCTCTAGTGGTGGCGGGCGGTGTGTGGGGGGGGGGGGGGGTGGCGGGGGGAGTCTGATGCGGTTACCTGGTAACAGGCCCAAGTTCAGAGGAATGTGCAACAGCAGTCCTAGCAAACCTGAACGCTGTTTGCAGGACTCCTGTCTCCCCGAAGGAAAACAGAGCTAACTGCTATATCCTTGACAGCTTTTACTCCCTAACGCAGTGACACTAGCTCTCAGGTGTGTGGGAGCATGTCAGTGACTATGCATTAGAGTGACCGGTGCAGTATTATCAGTGAGGATTGTACATTAATGCAATTGTTTTATTTCTGATGGTATGTGTATATGCTGAGGGTTCCACAAAGAAGCCAATTGTTAAGATCAGCCTAAAAACAAACCTGAGGGAGTTCATATACTCACATGCATTCCTGTGCTAACTCCTAACAGCCTTTTTCCACAGAAGTACATTTTCATTGACTGAAGAGACAATGGCTGTTTTTAAGATGTTATGGTGCAGGTACTCAACTTGCAAGCAGAGGGTAACTGCTGTGCTTTGTGTTGTGTCTTCCAAGGACTTGATCTGGAGGACTAGTGCTACTTGTGTTTTCAGGAGATAAAAAACTGACAGAGAATTAAAGATGTGACCGTGCTGCTGCATATTTTGACTGGACAGCAAATGAATTACTTGGGGGAAAATCTCTATTTCAGAAGTAATAAGAACCTAGATTTTTACTTTGGTTCCAAGGTAGAGCCCAAGTTCAAAAACTCATGCACAAGCTTCTTTTTGCAGTCACAGATCATTGCACTGAAGTAAATGCTGGCTGTAGCAATACATTAAAGAATAAAGCATTGATAAAAAGCCAGATTTTGAAAATTGCTGAGCTTTAGCCCCATCTGCCTTTACTTCTTGAGCCTTCTGGAACTCTCTTGTGCTTGGTTTCCATAGAACAAATCAGTTTTTCAATAGCTTTGTTTTTTTTTAAGCACAAGCCCTGTGCCCTAGTTACGTCTCCGTACTTGGGAGCCTGGTGTGAAAACTTCCTATGGCTTCCCTTAAGCGCTCCTATAATAGCAGCAGAGTGTTTCGCAGACATCAGTGAGTCAAGGTCCAATTTTTCACTTCAGAGCTCTTGCTTATTTTGCAGCACTGTTTCCCATTTGCAGCCAAGAGCATCAGGCATCTCTGGAAGATATCTTAGGGTGTCTCCAGCTAGGTAAACAGAAAGTGAGACAGGCTGCAGTCACTCACAAGAAGTCTGGTGTCAGGGAATTCTGTGTCACTGGTCTTTCTGACCAGTGCAGGAATAAAATCCTTCTCCAAGTTGGCATTGTACCATTTCAGACAACACAGATCTGTTATGACAGAAGATGAAGCGTGACATTTAGAAATCTGAACCGTATTCTTCATTCCGCAATGTGTTTGCTAGTGCTGATCCTTCTGCATTCTTCGATTTTGCCAGTCTCTCACTAACGCTGGAAATAAGAGTAGCTGGAAGGCCCCAGTGCCCAGCCCATTCCAGTACCGAGCACGCTTGGGGATTTAGTATCAATTTTAATCTACACCCAATCTTCAACAACCAAGGTCTTCATGTGATTTCTCAGTTTTATCCCTGCTGACTCCTAGTTCTGTGCTCCTTGCCTTCCCCAGCAATCTCTTTCCTATCTTTCTGGTTCTCATCTCCCCGTTTCCTTTTCATCCTACTGTGGTGGTGGGCAATGGGGAGGAAGCAAGAACTCTCCTTTGGCTCGGAGCTCAGGCCAGCACTGGGAACGCACCTCTGCTGTTGTTATACACTGCGGGAGCAAGCCAGGAACACAGCCTTCAGTTTAAACACTGCTGAGCCCCTGCCAGTTCTGGGGTTGAGCACGTCCATTCCTTCTTCAGGGAGTTCATCTGGTGTCAGCCCAGAACGCAGCTTAGCATCTACGAACAGCGGTCTCGTGTGTTCACTTTGCAGCGACGACAGCAGGAGATTCTGAGAATTAGCAAAACATTTCTGCTGAAAGCTTTCCAAGTTGTAGAAGTCAGGCCAATACAGATATCAAGCATGGAAAATTTCAACTCAGTAAAGCAGCAGCAGTAAATAGCCATCTGCGAACAAACAGTGACACTTAGGTAGGAGCAACGCTGCTCCCCACTCCAGCAGTAGAGAGGGGACAATTTCACCACCAATTCAGAATGATTTTGTGGAAAGAATGGATCTCTTCGTTGATTGTTTCCCTGCTGTTGTGCACCCAAGGATGCTGCCTGCTGAAAGACCTGTGGCGAGCCAGGGAAATACTGAAAAGAAGTTCTGGTAAAGGCAGATGTATGTGCCCAGCCTGTACTCCTCCCTGGCACAGGGGTGCAGCAGACTTTTGTCCCAGCTTTTCAAGAGTAGAAAAAGGAAAAAATAGCCATCTCTTATGTATTGGTGAATTCTCCCCTGGAGCAAAACTTTTACCATCTTCAGTGCAGGCGAGCTTTCCCTTTGGACTTCATACACAGATACAAAACTGTACCTGCGCTCTGGTTATGGCCAGCCCCAGCTCCTTCCAAGAAAGGTGCAAAAATCTGCAACAGGCACTGGTGGGATGACTGGTCCCGAGGAATTTCCTCAAGTTGTTACTGGATGTTGGTGCTTCGCACCAAGCATGAGGATTAATTAGAGTCCTCCCAAAAACCATCCAATGAAAACTGAATTTGGGCACTCCCTGTAGAGACAGTGGCACAGACTTCATCAAGGATCGACCATCCTTCACCATTTTTGTCCAAGACTTTCGTTGTGCTTGGCTTAACCTGGGCTGAGCCACACCGCTTACTGGTTCTGCTGTGCAATTCAGTGCATTCTTCTCTGTTTCTTTTCACGTCTCTCCTGCTGCCTCCTTTAACAGATGATAATCTGCATGGCCAGACTTCTGCACTGGATTTCTGATCCTTCTTGGCGCAGGAAGGACTGACTGTAGGAGACCATTGTGTCTCCGAGGCCTGACAGAGACTGGGAATCTCTATCCAGGATCACCAGATCCTACTGCACTGCAGCATCTGTCCTTTTGTTTCTTTGTATGACAGTCGAATTAGACTTGCTGGAAAATGCAGTAAACAAAAGGAATATGAGGTTTATTTGATTAACCAGAAAATGCCACATATATCAATGAATCAGATCCCATTTCTAACTTGATGTTCTAAGTACGCGGCCATTTTGAACCACCACTCCAATTTAGTGCATTTGCAGTCGAGAGGGGGCTATGTACATCTATAGATGATCTTCAGTATCTTAGACTGAGCAAACGAGATGTGGAGGATGATTAGAATTAGTCACCTCTGTGCAACTCCACCATCCACTATCAAATTTGAGAAAGGTGGAAGTTCTGTAAAGCTGGCAGCCTGCATGACAGGCAGTGTTTATCCCCCAGGTCCAAGACATGAATGCATGTTAATTAAATATAATGCTATCTGTTCTGGTTGTTTAAATAGCTCTTTCTAAACTGTATGTCAGAGGCACCTTGAGACTTGAGAGGTTGATACCACTTAACTTTTTTTGCCGTTTGTGGTATTAAAGAAAATTTCTATTCTGGTTTTTAACTTTATTGTGTAAAAGGTATTTTTTTCCATATTACTGTTCTAATTTCCTTTATTATACAGCTACATAAAAGAGAGTTCTGAACCAGGTTATCTTCCAGTATGAAATTAAGGCTTGCTGTTTATTTTCAAAGCAATTAACATGGGGGCAACTGGGACTGACTGAATCTTATCATCTCCACTCAGCTTGTTCCCAATGTGTCACACGTTTTTCAGGGTTTACTGTTCATGCTCCTTATGGCTCAATTTTCCTTAGCACCTACCAGGCACATCTTGCAATACACAGGACAATATAAAAAAGGATTCTTTACCCACACACAAGCACGCACGTACCAAGGACTTGGTAAAATCTGGATCAGCAACAGCCAGAACTACTTGAAATAAAATCCTAACAACAGTCTTGATGGGACACTCAAACCTGGTTAATCCAAAACACTTTGCAAACTATTTTTATTCAAATTAAAAAGACTCAAGTAAACAAAGTGATGGTACATACATGTTATAAACCTGGTTAGCAGCTTAACCTTCAGGAGTACAAGATCTAATGAAAGCCAAGCATGGATTAACCAGGTCCGAAAACATACGCTGAAAAAAGTCACCAACATCAATGTTTTGAATTTTTACACAAACAGTAAATTTTCTCATGGAAGGGAAGGACTGAGGAAGAGAACAAATAATTATTAGTCATCTCCAACTGATTTATGAAAATACCGGTCCTAGATAAATCTATTTTCCGCTCTCACAGAAGCCAACCATTTCCCATACATACTTTTATTTTAATATGAAAGTTTTGTTTACGCCAGTACAATGAATGGCAGTGGAAAACAAATGAGGGGTTCAAACACCCACAAAGAGAGAGAAAGACAGACAGACATGTCTTTTTTTTTCTTTTTTTTTTTTTTAAACCAGAGTCAGAAAAACAGTTTCTTTTGCTGGTTTTGAATTCTAGACTGTAGCCATTATATCCTAAATTTTACTGCAATCGACTGAAATGCCTCCAGTATACAGAGATGTGATTTTGAAATAAATAAACAAAGCTTAAAATAATTGATTAGGGCCAGCCCAGTGGCTTAACGGTAGCGCTCTGCACTGCCTTGCGGGAGGACCCAGGTTTTGTTTGCACTTCCAATCTCTTGCTCCTGGGCCGGAAAGAGCAGTGAAAGTAGAGCTTCAGCTGCTCGGGCAGGAGAGAGCCAGTGCTGCAAGTCTGCTCATCACTGTCCTTCAGATAAATTAAACATCTGAGTTATACAGGCTCCAAAGGGAGTCCCATCCAGTACTCAACAGAAAATAAATAAAACAATAACTTAACTAAAATCCATCCCAGGTTCTTTGGTGTAAATTTTTGTTAATGCTGAGAAGCAGAAGAATCTGGTGGTGTATTAGTACAATCCATGGCAGTTCCAAATACTCAAAAACTAGGATTTGCTGCCTGATTCGCTTCAACGTCCCATCTTTGTGGCTAAAAACTGCAAAGCCTATGGTAATTTAAACACATTTTAAGATGATACTGTATATGTGGGGGTGGTCTAAGACTATTCAGTTTCTACTTTATTAAATAAACTTGGTCATTTACAAAGGCCAGTAAAAAAATTTTGTACCACAGGTATGCTACTTGTAGAGTTCAAAATTATACTTTCCCTATATGTTGCTTAGCTTCATTTTCTTCACATCCATTGCACATCTGACCTAAACTGTCCTTAAGTGCCTATTTGTAATTACATGGTTTTCTGTGCAATGACTGGAGGAGAGGACTGCAACAGGAGAGGGAGAGGAATTAGCCAGTAAAATTAAGTAACAGTTTATACTCGCATATGTCACTTCCCTCATCAGTATTAATTACTTCAGCAAAACAGGACCCAAGATATCCAGTATTTTAAGAAAAATATTTAACCTTCTGCCAAATGTACTCAAACAAAAATGTCATGTACTATTAGACTTTCAAAAACATTTCCACATCATTAACATCTCTAGCAGTAAGATGAAGTGTATCACTAAATCAGTTCTTTTGGACTGAGTTGCAGTGACCACGTTCCTGCCAACAATTTTTTCAAATTAATATAGCTTCCCCAGTTACTTAATGCAATCTAAAAGTATTAATTATTTTTCTAAAATGAAATACATGAAAGGATTTACCTTTAAACAAATAACTTTACCATCCAAAAGGTTGGTTAGTTACAAGGACAGGTAAGTCTTTAGCAGAAGGCAGTCACAACCTTGAAATTTGGCAAGAAGAGTCTATACCTACCTTACTTAGCTAAAAAAAAAAAAAAACACCAACCACAAAACAAAACAACAAAAAAACCCCAAACCCTCCGAACGCTGCAATGAAAGTATTCTATTTCTCCAACGTACTAGGTATGCTAAACTTACACATACCATACAGTAGTATTTTACTTTAAAGTTAACTTGTGTCAAATTTCTCTCAAATTTTGCATTGCAAAACTTTCATTAAGGTGAATCAATACACTTAAAGAAAGCATACAAAAATGTCTTACAATGCCCAATCATTAACAGAACATGTGTGAATTTAGAAACATCACGTTACTTCACTAACAATTCAACTTTCCTTCTCCTCTAACTTACCTTCCAAGACCTGAACTGGTTCGAAGTTCTGCATGCCTTTCCCACATGGAGACAGAATTGCTTAGGGAGAAAGCTTCCCCTTCCCACTGCTCGGTGTTAGGGACATCACAGAACCCCCAAAGCAGGTCATGGTAGATGAAACATTTCACCTTCTAAGGACATGCCAGCACATGTATTCTGTTACTGATTTAGAATCTTGGCCTTGGCTACACAATTAAATAAATAACTGGACAGCATTGGACAACATCAGCGGTCAAGACACCCTTGTCCCATCCACACTAGCACTTCCATGTTCACTGTGGCCCACTCAACTGCCTCAGTATTGACCTGAAATGTCATTTTTCCCTAGCATCAATGCGCATCTTACCTTCAGCTTCTTTTAAGAGGTCCTCCCTGTTCACATCCAAGTGAGATTTCTGCTGGAAGTGGCTAGCACACACAAGCACATGTACACACATTCTTCTAAGATGTAAACTATGACTAATTTCACATTCCACTGTACCAATCTGTAAATACTTTGTTTTCTTTTTTCTTCTTTTATATAAAAACAATGGCATCAGATTCTCAGCAATAAAGTATAAGAAAGATGAATCCTTGACTACACTTAACCAATTATGAAATCGCCTTTCAAACAAAGGAAACATATGCAAAAATTTGTGTATTTGATAAAGTCAACTTAATATAACAAAAAGTGAAATATGCTTATTAAAAGTGTCCTTATATAAAAATGGTCTTGCAATGTACAGTAAAATGCAATACAAATTATTGTTGGTTATCTCTCCCCACCCAGTAACTAAAACAGCTATTGTTCCACAAAACTCCTTATATGCCGGTATCAAAGAAAGAAGCAATTATGCGACTAAACATTTTCTATGTTGTACGCCTGACGGATATTAAGGGTGTCTCGTAGCATCAAGTCTCGCAGACGCCATAATGCATCGGCCATTGTGGTATGAGCCCCTTTACTTTTTAACCAGTGTGAAGGGAGTCGGCTCTCTTGCTCTTTTGATAAGTGGACATCTCGTCTTCGTGCTGGAAGGTCAAGAAATGGTCCAATTATCTACTGGCTTTGATATTCAACACAATTTCTCTAGAAAAAGGTGAACGTAATTCTATAGTATAATTTTTACCCCTAGTATTTAAGCCCATACAATTGATTCTTCGATTTATACATCAATGGAATGAGCCTACTGATAACATAAATATTCCCAATCTGTTCATTTGTTCTTAACAATTACTTGCATGTGTACGTTTTATTAAGTAAACAGCAGATTTATTTAGCATTTTCCATAAAAGCAAAAAATATTAATGGTTACAAAGAAATGTGTTCTGTCTGGAAACATTCCACTCTGTATCAAAAGCCTTACCTGCAAGGGTCTGGTCCCACTTGCTAATACTATTTGATTCGGCACTAAGCCCCTCAATATATTTCAGATAGGCTTCGGAATGAAGAAGCCTCTGTGTCTTTGGTGGAGGGGAGACGAACATGGGAGTTGTGGGCTGCTGCATAACTGGCTGACTTGCTGGGCTCTGGCCGGGATACGGAGGAGGTGCCTGCTGTCCCGGCGGGCCAAGGATTCCTATCTGCAATGACAAAGCAATGGAGAGATCACATCTGGGGGAACTGCAGGGAAGCAGCTTTACATCTGTGCATCAGGTCATCCTCATACAATGGAGCTTCAAAACAGGTTATGAGCAAAGGCATAAGGCAATTTCCCTGAAAGACACCCACTTCAGCCAGGGCTACCTTTTGGGGTCACTGAGGTGCACACAGGGAAGAAGTGCAAACAAGCCACGTTCATATTTAACAGACAACATTGCTCATATTTCTCATCTATGTAAACATACTCCGATTACTATCACCATTTCTCCTCTCTCCTATTACCCTGAATTACTCCTTTTGCCTCCTTTTTATTTCATGTTTTCTCTAATTTGATCATAAACCATGCGGTCTGTGAAGTGCATGGTTTATCTCTAAAACATCTAATCCAAATTGACCCTGATCCTTGGACAACTGCGATACTTCCACAGAATAAATGCTAATCGCTGTCAGGCAAAAATAGCAGACACACAAATAAATCACAGTCACACAGAAGAATTCCCACCATTGTGATTAAGTAGCAGAGAACTCTCAGCACAGATATCCTGTGGTCTGGAATAACTCAATGTCATGACATAGATACTTTACTACTTTCTCACTCAGTTTCTGGTTTTCTCTACACCCTCTAGACAAAATCACATTTCTCTTTATGATGCAAAAATTTAGTCAATAAAATTGGAAATGTGCTGAACACTTCATCTGTGTTAATCGCCTAGAAGGAACATCTGATCATCACTGTTGTCCAAACTCCCAAATTCTGAATTGCCAACGAGTATCTGCTTCGTCTGTTTGTGAAATATGGGAGCAAACAAAACAGTTTTTACCCACTTATCAACAGCTGAGAAAGTGGACAGCATCCTCTCTGCATTACCAAAGCATGCAAAACCTAAATTATCAGCAGTTTAACAGTGTGTTGAAATGACTCGTCTTAGTTTAGTAGAAGGAAAACAAACCAAACCACTGTCTTGCTTATACTGCAGAAGTTATCCCACTGGGCAGAACTTCATTAGTCTAATAACAATTCAACAAACAAATACAGATATACAGTCTGAGTGTAAGATATTAACTGGTTCTAAATACATTGGTGTACATTTGGTTTATGTTCTCCCTGGGAAAGGCTATGTGAATCCCCACGTCTTAACTGAGATGTTGTTCAAATGCTAATTCAGAGCCTTAGAGCTTCAAAAATAATACAAAAATTACTCACCTGCTGTCCAAAAGGACTTGCCCCGGGTGCTGGAGTGCCTACCATGGGGGACACATTTTGGCCTATAACACCTATATTCCAAAATATAAAATAATTAGTCTTATTTCAGAGCAGTGACGAATACTTCTTTGGTCTTCTATAGTAAAAATTTATACTTTGATATCATTGCTCACAGTTATTTTAAGCAGATGTACAACATTCAAATATCCCCCTCTCCCCCAATAAAAATAACCACTTTAGAAGTTTCTGAATGAAGAAAAAAAAAAAAGCCATCATGACAACTACCAAACACTGATATGTGGCCTGTTGAATTAATTTAATTAAAGAAATGCAAAGTGAGTTATTTTTGGTTTTCAGGTTTTTTTTCACGTTACTTAGTGATTGCCTGACTAAATCTTTTCATTTATAATATACACCTTTGGCTTGACAGGATCTTCCTGGAATCCTTTAAGAAAGGAAATGCTGATTTGCTTTAGCAACATTTAACATTTCCTTGTGTTCAGTTTTATAAAATACATTCACAGCAGGAGGAAATCCAAGCCATTGCACAAATTCTGTTAGATCTCACTAATATAAAACACAACTTGCAGGTTAAGCTTAAATAGTCTTATATATAAGACCAATGAACATTTGAAACAAATTTCAAAAGAATGAAACCTGTTAGTTTTTCTTTCTCAAACATATTGAGACCTTTCCCTATTGCACAGAGCGCAGCAGATAACACCCATGTCAGTCTCACATACAAAAATTTACAAATTTAAATGAGAATCATGTAGTTCCTACTTTTACATACAGATGCTTTGGTCTGAAAAAACGTAAGTTATGCCTGCTGCTGCTTTTCTTTCTGTTTATGCCACTTCTCACATTCATTCATCAGAAAAGCAGCAAGCCCTTTTTTTTTTTTTTTTTTTTTTTTTTTTTTTGGTGAGAATAACATTTACGAACTGTTGTCTGCCTTGAAAAATGGCGACTGCTTAAGCCTGAGATCACAGCGTGTGCAGCCACAGGCCTCGCCTTTGATTACCTTCTGTAATTTTACATCTTTTTGGACTGCGGGTCTGCGTGGGTCAGGCCTATGGTATTTATTGCTAGCGGTTTCACTTGCTGCCTGTACACGTCTGAAGCGTTTGGAAGCGGTGGTGACGCTGTGCTTTTTTGCAAGCGTTTTAACTCGGCGCTTGTAAGAAATGGAAAGCCGGAAAGTTTTTGCCTGCTCAGCTTCTCTATCAGTGATCAAGAGATGTGCCACTGCATTTTGCATGCTAGAGCGTATTTCGAATGCATTTTCCATTTGATGACAGCCCCCATTTTAAATGCATCTGTATTAACAGCAAGTCAGGAGTTGGGAAAAACATTGATAATACAAGTTGTGGAATATGGCACGGATTTTTTTTTTTTTTTTTGTACAAAGCAAGGAGGTCTGGAGGAGGGCACCCTCACCTTTCCAGCACCAGAGCATGGCTTCACCCTTAGCACACCCAGCCCGATTTAGCACCACTTCAGGTGTGGTCCTCCATTCCCAGGCATTACTTTTTCCCTAATCCGTATCTTCTCAGTTTTAAACACCATACACACAGCCCACTTCTCCAGTGGGAAAAACTCTTCAAAGAAATGCATTGTCCTGGAGTCACCTCCCAAACATTTGTATGTTGCTGATGTGTGCTAAATGTCACTGCCTTGGTGACTCGGAGACAGGCTCACAAACACACAGCTGTTTTCCTACTCCCTCTATGTGACATTACGGTCAATCTTACAGATCAGCGAAGCTGCAAGCTGCACACCTAATACTGATGGATTTTTAAAAAATAAAAACAAAAAACAAGCAAACAAAAAAACCCCCAACCCAGAACAATTTACATACAGATGAAAGTCTTAACAGAGCTTCTGATAAACACAGTTGCAAGTGGGGTAGGGGGAGGCAAACGAGATCACTTTTGTCCACAGCTTGTTTAACTGCTGAACATATGGGATACCAATCTTTTAAATAGGCACATGAGTTATCAGAGGTAAAAACTGAAAGAATCGGCAGAAAACAGGATGAGAGGGCAAATAAACATTTCTCCCCTCAGTGGGGACACGTTAATGGCATTAACACTGGAAAAACATTTATTTTTCATTCAGCCTCACTCTTCATCAAGTGTGGCAAAAAAATAGCAAACGTATAATAGATATGCACTCAAAAATCAATTCAGAATTTGGCTACAACAGTATGCTCAGTTCACCTTCTTCCCAAATGTTTCCAGTTACTGTTCTATCAACAAGGTTTAATCTGAACACTGTTTTATAACAACACATGTCAGTGCCCCAATGGCCAAGGGGTCTTACATGACCCGGTTCATTTAAGTGCAGTCTGACTACTGATAAACATTAACATACTGAAAAAGAGTTCAGTAAGGAATGAGAACAATAAATTTCATTTATAAGCCCATTTTAAATAAGAAAAGGAGGAGTGGAAGGATGCTGTTGAAATGATGTAAGGATACGAATAGGCTGATTTCAGCTTTTCAGACCTCTGAGAAACTCAAGCAGAACTGTCAGGTTTTTTGGCTGGAGCAAAACTACTGCTGGAGCAGTGTCACGTTTCTCCAGTAACCTTTCCCTGCTGGTTTACTGGACATGCTGTTGTGTCAACGCTTTGCATCTACCTCATATATTCAGCAGTGCATCGTGTGCGCTGCAGCTAAAAAAACCTGCAATGTTCAGAAACAAGAGCTGTGACCAAAACAAGCTGCAGATAATTTCTGTAACAACTGGTTAAACAGCAAGTACATGAAAATGAAATAAGGAGCGAATGAGGATGACATTCTTACCGGGTGGTGGGATGCCTGGGATGCCTGGCATACCTGGCGGAAGTTGGTGGGGTGGGGGCACCCCTGGGTGAAGTGGCTGCATGCTGCCCATGCTAACAATGCCATCAACTGGGCCCTGCAAAGGTGGCAGCACCGGTGGATAGCCACTTATCATGCCTTGAAGGACACAACAAATTTCAAACATGCATCAATAACATGCAATATGATCTACACAGTAAGACATGCACTATCCACAAAAAAGAAAATAAAAGCACCTTTAGTACAGCAAGACGATACTACAATTAGTATCTTGCAAAAATGAATAAAAATTAAAAATAAAAACGTTATAAATATGAAACACTATACTTTTGATGAATTAGTATTTAGTGTATTTGTATGTTTCTCATGGGGCAATAGATGCTGAATATTCACATATGTTAACACATATGTCAGCCACAATTAAATGTTACTAACGCAAGCAATTTTAATACAGCTTAAAGCTCTGCCATCTGCATACAGATTACGAACACAAACTAACTACACAAGCTCCACATACAGCCCTTCTTTGAGGGCTACCTCAGAGACCAAACTCAACTGGAACAAAAATAAAAACCTATATATTTTTCTGCAGTGCATATGCAAAATTTACACACAAAAGCCCCACAACATTTCCATACTTAAAACTAACAGCAGTGACAGGGGTGACTTTTATTAAACCATCTCCAGTATAAACTATGGAAGTAACTCAAATTTTAAACCTGACAGCACTGGATGTGCTGGGCTGCAGTGACCTAGACTCACGGCACTAGATTGAAGTAACAGGACTTATAAGGAGCACCTGCAGTCCCTCACAGAATTTCACCGACAATGTTTTCAAGGTGTCTTTATAGGAAAACCAATGATACGACGAAGACAGTATTGTGTTGCTGCTCATAACTTTAATTTTCTGCATGTGAGGGAAGAAAATTTAGAGCTTATTCTGGTTTCGGCTCAGGTTTGTTGCTATCCATGAGGTAAGCCTACACAATATAACTGCACTGTGTTTATTAGGTCCTGGAATGTAACTTGCTTGTCCCTCGCCTGTTTTCTAGGCTTTTCAATTTAAATGGATGCGTCATCAGGTAACCAAGGAAAGGTGCTGGAAAGACAATGAAAAGATGACAGAGGACAGAAGCAGGTCTAGAGAGATGAGGTAAGTTTAGAAATGCAAAATTGGTGGGGTTTGTATAGTCTGTTCCAAGAAACCACCTACTGAATCTTTGCCACACTCCCAGTAACTCATAAAAGAGACTTTCAGAACAGGGTTTTCTGGAATAAGTCTGGCCAAAAACTCACACCAGCTCTGAGTGAAAACAAAGCTCTCATGAACTCAGGATCGAAACAGATCGAGCGGCTCCAAAATACAAGCTAAATTTGTCACTTCCTCAGGAAGAGTTACAAAGGTGAGAAACCTGAAATTCCAAAAGCTTTACATGGAGCAAACAAGAACATAAAGAACTGATCTCCCTCAAGCCTTCGTTTTCCACAGGACACCTAGACTGACACTTATTAAATAGGTCTTAGGTACCTATTTCAAATATCTGGAAGCTCATCTGTACCTTTTTATTAACAGAGTGAAATCCATATTTGTAATGGAAAAAGTAAAAGAAGAAAAACAACAAAAGCATCCCTAGAATAAAGGGCTTTCACTGTAGTTACTGTACTTCCCATGCACTCTGAGCTGCAATCGCATCTTCAATGCATTTACATACACTTCTGAAGCTTTAAAACAAACAAAACAAAATAAAACATAAACCTCCAATGAAACAAACCTATGTTCATCAATCATGAAAGCTCATTTCTACATTTCCAAATAAAATACTCACTCAACAACTGGCTGGATTAATAAAGTTGCCATCAAATCTCCATGAGAAATCAGTTCTTGTAGCTCATCACAAGGTTATAAGAATAGCCACTTTCATATCCCATGTATGAGTTACCACTTTGATTTTAAGCTAGTAAACACGGGCAAACTATTTCCAGCTCCCACAGCTGTGATTTATGATGTCTTTCAAACTACTTGTTCTCCCATTTTTTACTATAACAATGTAAGATTAAATAAACTTTTGTAATGCCTAAATTTACAAGAAACTAGAGCACTGCGCACTAAGAGAAATGCATCTCAGAAAGTATCCAGATTTCTTGGACCTGTGGGCATAAAGAAGTTCTCTGAACTTCTGTGATGGAGTTCTCTCAACTAGAGAAAAGCAAGCAAATGACGGAGGAGGACGTGAAAGAGGTCTCAACAGAATAAGATACTTCTAAGTAAGGCTTGTGGAAACTAAAAGATGAAGGACTGTTTTTCAAATGGGCCACAAAAATAGAAAGAGTTTAAAAAGATCCACTTGATCATCCACTTTAAGGAAGTATTTCACAATGCCAAAGTGAAGAGACTTGAATGTCTAACTGCTTGAATAAGATGATGGTCTTAAATACAGGTTTGCTTTTGAGGAGGCTGCCACAGAAAGTAAGTTAGCTTGTGTAGTTTGCAGAATGCACATTTTTGGAAAAGTTTTAAGAAAGTGTTAGTGATAAGTATTACTGCCCATCAACACCTACCTCCAAAAAATTGGAAAAGCGATTCAATGCCAAAAAAACAAGAACCAAACCAAGAAAACACAGCCACAAGAGGATGACGTTTCTACGTATTCTAGATTGAAGGAGGTTACTCACAAAGAAGATCAGCACTGGAGAACTGCCTTTTTTTTGTCTTAATATATGCAAACATACGTGTACACACACACACGCACGCACACACACACACAAACAAACACACACCAACTGCAAGCAGTTCACAGGAAAATTACCAAGAACAAAGTGAAAAAAAACAAAAGAAAAATGCAACTCAGCGTAAACAAATGCTTTGCAATCTGGAGACCATGAACCAAATAAGGCATGTGCCTTCTATTTAAACATCCATGCAGCCTATTTGCTGGAAAGGGATTTAGAGACCATGATGAAAAACGCTTCAGGCTGTCAGCTCTAAATATGGCCACAGCCTGTGAGACGGGAAAGACAAATGACAAAAGAATAAATGGAATAATTGGAATGCCTTAAGGGAGAGTTAAAACAAAAAACAAAATTCAAAACAAAAAACCTCCAAATACTCATTTTTACCTACTTGGCACTATTTTGTCCTTGACTAAAGTAATCTAATTATTTTAATTAGAAATGGGGGAAGGAAAACAACCTATCAGGTCATACCTAATTCATTTTCTCACTGACGTATGGCTGATTCCCATACAAGAATCTCCAGTGGACTACATTGTCTTCAGATCTGATCCTGAAAATACTTCGAGCATACTCCCTATGAACTCAAGTCAGATTATGACTGGTAATGAGCACAACACCCAGCAACAGGGACCTCATGGAAGAGTCCTCCAAGCTCAGTTCTATTCTGAAAATCACCTGATAAAACCGGCAATGTTGGTTATTTCCTATTTGTTTCTGCAATGGCTCTAGATCCTAGTCTACTTTGCTTACCAGTGTCTAATCAGCAGTTCTGTAAAGGTTTTGGTTGGATTTAAAATCTGATTTGGATTCTGTTTGCCTCTCACCTTCCTGACAATAAAAAAAAGAAATTATTTGCCTCCTACTTTACCACTTCCACTGACGCTGCATGCACTAGAGGAGCATTTAGCGCACTCCCCTCCTGCCGTAGCAGGGCTAAACATGAACTCTGCAAAGTAGAGTGAATAAACACGACTGCACACAAACAGAACAGGACTACCGCACAAGGAGGACCCTTTTTCCCTGCATTTTCAACAGGCTACTCACTACTAGAGCAAGTAACGTAGGACTGTCAGGCTACTGCTGTGGTTACGTATACTCATTATGAAGAAAGACTGAAGAGGTTGACCTTTTTCTTCCGTAAGAACAAAGTGACCCAAGAGAGTGTTCAGAGTTATGAAGGGGGTTGATATAGTGGATGAGGAAAAAATGGTCATAGCTCCTACGTTTTACCTGCAACGGGTGTCAACTGCTGATTGAGCATTCCCATTGGTGTTGGTGGCGGCACCACCCCCATAAGAGCCCCGACAGGAGTGCCTGCCCGGGGGGAGGAATTCTGCTGCTGTGCTGCTCGCTCTCTCTCCTGCTGCTCAGCAACTTTAGCTGCCCGCTCTGTAAAAGTATTTTAGATTTTCAGTTCTGTTTTGTAACCCAGAATTTCAAAATATTATCTGTTCATTAAAAAGGACTAGTCAAACACTGGCATAGTTTAGTCAAATATAAAGTAGAACAGATGAATCTTTTTATACAGCATATGATTTGATTTCATGTGGCTGCACCTAAGACTTTTAGAGAACCTTTCATGAAAAATATTCCACAAAGTTTTATCTCTTTCTAAAAAAAAATGAAAATAAATAATAAAATAAAAATTTAAAAAGTCAAAGAACAAATTTAATAATAACACCAGTGTTACCAACATGAAGCAGCAGTCCAGCACTAGGCTCAGTCCGCACTAGGAAAACATAACAAAACGTTCCCTCTTTGGACGCCACTGGCTCAGCTAAACCAGTTGCAGCGAAGGCTGGCAGCTCTCATATAGACCTGCTACCAGCTGCTGTGGGAATTTTAAGCACTGTGTCTGCCAGAAGTGCCCTAAAGTAAGATGCAAATAGCAGAGAGCAGTGCCAGCCAGTGGCCCATTTATTCTTGGGCTCCCCATATATTTTACTACTGATGCAGCTGAAAAGTGGTGGCAAAGTCGGGAAGCCTTTGCAAAGTTTCCCTAGTGTAGATAGGTCCTTAGTGTTTGGAACATAACAAGCAGCAGTTTGATGAAACAAAAATATTTTTCCCTGCCTCTTTCTGTCATTTTCCCCGTTTGGTCCCCTTTGAGCTATTTTTTTGTTTGTTTGTTTGTTTTTTTCTGAAGATGTCTAACTCACATTGTGCTGCTCACTGGAGGTCATGTGTGTCCTTTGTACGATGAATCTGGTCATTATCTCAATCAAGTTTCTCACTGTGACTGCAAGAACAAAAGATCTACTGCAGGGGAATCTGACCAGAGGACAATTTTATATTAAGGGAAGGGCAAAGGGTCATTGGAAGAAGAAAGAAAAAAAAAAAAAAAACAAACAAAAAACACAAAACCCAAGCAAACAAAAAAAAGGAGATATACTGAATGCCCACTCAAGGTGCTTTGGGGGCATGCAAGTTGCTGATTTGTTTACTCTGAATGCTGTATCTGACTGACGCAATGAAGAACAACAAAGAATAAATGAATGCAGCATACATCTCCAGCAACTTTTAGTAACAGTGAATACAGGGCTAGAAGTTCTCTTGCAGTTGGTGAAAGATGAAAACTGCCACTAAAACAGCAATCAAGGTCCTCTGTCAAATAAAGGCTAAGAAGAAGTTCATCAAGGAGATTAAGTCATCCATCCTGCCAATGTTACTCGTTTTCTCTAGTATATGACTTCAAATGTCTATCACACGTTTGTCTTCTGTAGAACCTGTTTGTGCAGCTTCTAGCACTACTTCCATACACTGAAAGCCCAGTTTCATTTCCAAAGGGATTTCCTTCCTTCTTTTCACTTCTGTCATTTCAGGAAGCAATGATGACGCACAGAAACTCCTAAATTTACTACAGGCAATTCTTATGTGATTGAGCACAAAATACACAAGACATTTAAAGGTAGATCCTGAAGTAGAAAAATGAGATAATCCTCTTCAGAGGAGAGCAAGCATTTGGGGAAAAGATGAAGCAGCTGTTCTGACTCTCACCTACTTTTGGCCAGCTAAAAAAAAAAATGGTCATACAAAAGCAAAAGTTCTCAAGACACTCTGATGAATGAGAAATTACTGTTAAGCGTTCAGCTTTATCAGACTTCGGAGTGCTAAGCTTTGAAGAAGGACCTGATGTAGGACAGTACTTGAGTTTTACCTAGTCTCTATCCATACCATGACTGCCACGGAACTAACAGATGAAACAACACCGCCAAAGGGAACTGTAGCAGGTGTCTAAAAGTTCAGCCTTAAGTGTTCACCCTAATACTGAATACTAAACCCAAATTGTTTAGGCCAGGACTTGAGATCATTCAAACAACATCTCCAACACATCTCAAGAGACAGGAAAGAGACCTTCTGCTTTGAACAGAGCTTTTCCTTAAAACAGGCCTTTACCTCAATCCCATGCATTATTTTATTTTATTTTGCAGAGTTTTCACAGTGCAGTTAGCTATGCAGGCACTTCCAACACAGCCTGTTCTTTGCTCAACTATTGCTAAAAAAACAACTATTACCCTGCACATACACCAAATGAAATTTTCAGTGGGTCAAAATGGATCTAAAATGCAAACTACTTTTCACCAGAACACAGAAAGGCACTTTTTCACTGAAGTGTCAAACCATGCCTGTTCCCCGCTCCCTGGTGCACGTCCACACTAGAGAGCACGTGAATTTTGACTCATCACAGTGGAAGGAGTGGAGTTTCTCTCCTTTCACACATGGTAAGCAAACACAGTTTGGACGCTTTGTAACCCCATCCCAACCCCTCAAAAACAAATAAAAGTATGTCTAGCTCTGGGCAGACACCAAGCCAGAGAAACTGCAGCTCAAAACACAAAAGCTTTGGAAAATGTTAAGCGAGAAAGAGGATTAAAATGGAAGCACTTAGGCAATCATTAACACAGTGGGCAGACACTGTTGCTACCAGTACATTACAGCTATGCCTTCCTGCAGAAGTGCAAGATGTCAAGGTGCTCTAAGCTAGGAAGCGATGACATGCTAGCCGTCCTACTGCTTAAGAATTAGGCTGTAAGGAGGGACCTGTCAACAAAAAGATACCCTGTGCACCTAGAAGGGTGTAAAAGGAAACTACAACAGGAAAAAAGTAAGGCCATAATACTTTCATAAAGAAAAAGCATTACCATTTCCCTTCACAGCATTTGCAAAGAAAACTTGCGCATAGCCGAGTAGTGCTATATTACTCTCCAGAACTGCAAAGAGGTACTACTGCAAATTTGGAAAGGACTGAGACAGCTGAGGGTGGAAAGTGATAGCATGCAAACTTCTAGTTTGAAGATCAAAGCTGCCTTTAAGTTATGAGTACGCAGAAAACCTATCAAATCTCATTTTTAAAAAAGCAAAGTTGTAATTTAATTGGGCAATTACTTTCTAGGATATTGAAACTTTCCCATCCAAAATAGCATTTTCTGCCAATAAAATTGCAACAGTTGCTTAAAAAAATGGGTTTTATATTGGAAGTGTTGACACATTATTAACTAGAGTAGTAACTATGGATGTTAAGCCAATGTATTTGGCTTGGGTAAGGGCCTGCTGTTAAGGATCAACTGTATTTTATTTTAATCAAATAAAGTTGAAACACAATGACCAGTGTCAGTAGGAAAGAAAGAAAGAAAGAGAGAAAGGTCTAAAGTATCTCATGCCTATGAAATATTCCTAGGCTTGCTTCAGGATATGAAATCTCCCAACAAAATCAGTTACAACAGTTGATTAATACTGAAACTGAACAATAGGCCATATTTACAGTATCATAACAGATTCTGTATCCTTGATTTTATTCTACCAAAGATTTTTGGGACTCGAAGTACTGTTAATCAAAGAACTTTTTCCCACTCCACTGTAAGCCTTCTTACCTGCCACTACAGCTCTGAAGAGCTTCTTGTCCAAAATTCCCCCCAGTCCTCCTTTAAGGAAACTCTCACAAACCATTTTTCCAACTGACTTCCAGCCCAGGGGCTTCATGCCCCTTTACTTCTAATTTGTCCCCATTTTCTTGGTCTGTGTTCATTTGGTTATTTGTGGCAAAGACATTTAAATTATCAGTTGTGCACTACACAACCTAAACATGCTCTTTGCTCCTCTTCAGTCATTTCTCAATATGAACTTCTCTTTAAGGTATGTCCAGAACACAAACATAAATATCTTCTTTTATTAAACCTGTCATCTGAATAACAGTATTGAATGTGTTGAGAAAGAAAAAAAAAAGCAGAAAAGAGTTTAGCATCTTAGTTTTTATTTACCTTCATATTCTGCTTTCTTTGTTGCTTCCAAGTTTCTCCATTCAGTTCCTACAAGCCTGCTGAGCTCTCCAAAGGAGTAGTCTGGGTGCTGAGCTTTAATCACAGCTCTCATCTCGCTGCTAAATAAGATGTACCCACTCATGTTGATCTTCCTTTTTGATCCCTCCTTCTTGGTGCTGCCCTTAACAGACTTGGGAGTGGACTGTGAGAAAAGGCAGTTATGACCACAAGTGTACAAAAGAGAAGCTTCTCGACATACAAAATTCAAAGCTGTAAGAAACAGTATTTTAAAATATTCCTACATTTCTCTTGAACATATTTGCACAAGGACCATCCAACCTTACAGCCCCTGAAGAGAGACTGCATCTACTGATGCATGATAGAGCATACGCACACACTTATGAAAAGTACACGGGGGAAAAAAAAAAAAAAAGAAAATCACAATGTTCTGATGCCTTTCAACCCTTTCAGACATAATGCCACCTTAAAAACTGAGACTTCAAAAAATTCTTGGTAAGACAACATAGAATGCTTACGGTTAGCTAAAACCATTCCAAACTGAATGAGAGGACTAAGAAAGGCTGAGTAGCAAATAAGTGACTATTCGGAAGGCCAGAAGAGAATAAAAGTAATTGTGTTATGTCACAGATTTAATCCATTACGCTGTTCAGAAATATTGCCAAGACAAGTTGAGTAAAACATTTTATTTGCCATTGCACATTTTAGAGAAATACTCCCCCACTTCCTCCTGGGCCTTTGCAATCCCTACCCTCCCTGGCTCCATATTCCACTTTTCTCATCCCTAAATGCTTTCTATTTTCCCTGCCAGACTTTCCTTTCTCCCTAGTGTTCACCTCCCATTACATAAGTAGCCATTTCTCCCTGAAAAACCCAAAGCCCAGTTCTGCTGATCACTGTTTACCGGCACAACAGGTTCACATCACAGTCTATATGTTGATGGGTAACAAAAATTCTGCTCCTTTGCTTTTCCCACCACGGATGCTCCTGTTGAGAACTCCTTGATGTTTCCAGCCATCAAAAGATCTAACCTATTCTGACAACCACTGAGATGCCACAGCTGGAACCCCTTTTTTGAAGGCTCCTTCCACCTATATTTGTTACAGGAGACCATAATTCATCAACAAGGCCCACATCATACCAAAACCCTCAAAAGGCACTTCTCATATCCCAAACATTATGAATTTCTCACATCTTGAAAAGTGTAATTGCTTCCACATACCTGGCAGGGAAAAAAGGAAAGAAAAATATATGCAACTGTTTTCTTCCTATTCTGAAATTCTGCCCATGTTACTAACTCCTTCTACTTGTTACTTTGAGCCCCACAGTTCAACACTCTTCTCCAGTTAAAAACAAAGCTTCAGAGATACCAAGATGCTTAAAAAGTCTTGCTTATCAATTTAAGCCAGGCACTGGATAAACCAAGGCATACTTGTATGTTATTCCAAACTTCACTGTATTCATTTTCAAATGGCAATCCACCCTTAATGTTTTCATTATGAACCTAAAGACACTTGTCTTTTTGGGATGAAGTCTTCCAGGTTTGTCTCTAAGATGGAGGAAGTGAAGAAAATTCCACACAGGTTCTGGGATGACACACAGGGCATGTACAACTCATCCTGGTTTCTCAGGAAGGCCCACACCGGCTGATGGAGAGCTCTCAATTTGGAAACAGGAAAATGTAATGATATATTTGGCCTCTTATACATCTGCACTTAGATAGCTACAAGTTGATCAGCTGGTTTTGCCTTTATAGTGCTTGCAACAGTTTGATAACAGTAATCTAATGTAAAAGCCTACCCATCAGTTTGGAAGGGCAAACAGGACTTTGAGAAACTCTAAGAATTCTGAATTCGGTTCTTGTAGTCTCCATTCTTTTACACTTCCGATACAACCATTTTTAAATGAACAGAATCTTTTCCATTGAGATAACTGCATATTCAGTTTTAGATGTGTTAAGAGAAGTACTAAACCAGAACCCCCTTTTATGCCTTTTCTCAGTCATGTTGCTAAAGCAAAAAATGAAGATGCACATCTTTTTCTTTTCTAGGTTCAACTTGATTCACAGCAAACTGCAGCAAGAGAGCATTATCCACGTACTTGTCAAGCCCCACAATATCATGTATTCACTTGTCTTGACTCCTTTTATCCTGAGATGTAGTAAGAGCTTCTTTGTTATCAGAAGAAAAAAAAGTTTAAAAGTTCTGGGGTTTAATAGTTGTTAAATAAAATCCCATATGTTTAAGAGAACATGAACCAAACACATGCCTTTTACCTAGGAGGTCTGTTTAAAAAGAGTTTTCACTAAGGACGTAAATAGAACGGATTATTTGAAGAAGAAAGTTTATCTCTGTGCTATACATTAGTTATCTCTCCACCAGAGTTAAATTGTGCTCTGAATGCCAACTCAGACACAACATGCCTTTTCTTTCCAAATCAGCAGTGTGAGGAATCTGCCAGGGCACTTGTGTATCATCATTCACTTCTTAGCATGCATTGCTATTGATCCTTTTCAGTTTTCCTTATTTGTTTGGGGGTTTTTTGTTTTGCGCTTGTTTTTTTTTTTTTACTTCAACTTCTATACTTCAGAGTTCACATCTGTCTAAAGGTATATATACACACGTTGGATATATCCATTGAGCCTGACTTCTCACTAGTTATCCTGAAAGCTCTGCAACACTGTCCCATTACAAACAATTAAAAAAAAAATATGCAACTATCAACCTGGCTTTTTAAAGAGATATTATATATTAGTATTTAAATAAAACTTCAAGGAAATCTGAGCATAACAGAGCTATGTAGAAAGACAGAAAGCAAAGGAGATCAAAAGACAGTGAATGCTGCAGAAGGCAGTTTGAGGGCATCTTTAATGTCCAATGATCCCTATTTAAAGTGTCTTCAGCAGCTGCCATGTTTAACATGGTAGTATTTTGATTTATAGAGTTACCTTCCCCTTCCTAAAGTGTCACATTAGTTGGTTAATGCTGGTGACACACTTTCTATTTGTAATACTCTGCAAGAGTTTTCATGCTACTTATGAAATTCAGCGTGTTAAAACAAGAACAGGGAGACAACCTTGCACAGGAAAATGCATTTGGTGGTCTCCCCACATGGTGAAAATCACAACCAAACCAAGCTAAAGCTTTCAATTTCATTAACTCTTTTTCATGACATCCAAAGATGGTTATTTCTTTCCAGGGGTCATATCAACTACCAATGTGGTTGTCACTTCACAATGTAATGCAGCAGAAATCCATATTGCTGGTTACAAAAGTGTCTGAAACTTCCTCGTGTTCCCAGCAGGTCATTCCCATTGCCTCTTTAATGCTGGCATCAGCTTGCATGTGACAATGCGACGAAAAAGATAAAGGGTTTAATCCAGTTGCAAACAAACTTTTTTGGTTAGGTTAATTTCCAGTTAAAGCAGTTCCTCACCCTGCTTCAATACTCAGTTACATAAATACCAGGGCTTGTGTAAGAAACACAGCAATAGAGGGAAGGGGATCAAAAGTGCCCCATTTAAGCAGCAGCAATGACTCATGCTGCATTCAAGCGGCATATAACCACACACGATTCCTCTTTGACTTCCTACCCATTTATCAGCAAATTAATACTAAAGCTTCTAGGACATCCAGTTCTTCTAACTTTTTTACCAAGTTCTTATTTCCAAGTAAGAATGGTTACTTAACACTAAAAAAGTGATTTTTTTTTTTTTCCTTTGAGGATGATGCACAGCATTTTCTAAAAATGTAGCAGAACTGTAACACCCAAAATGCTATCTTTTGTCAAAATTTAAGGAAGAGCTTAAAAACGGGCATTAGGTAAATTGAGAATTACAATTGAACCCTTACACCCCAACTTTATATTTAATATAAGGACCTGATATTTCTGAACAAGTGTCATAGAAAACCTACTAATTAGAAATAATGTTAACATATCATACAAAAAGGTACCTTAGATTTTCCTCAACTGAATGATTTCCTTTAAAAATATTTCAGTGGACTTAAATATTTCCACCTGGATATCATATTGGATATGCCAAAACTGTTCTGTGTAATTTATTCCATAGGCTCGTAAACTGAAGTATAAATCTTGTGTGTGTTTGTGATAAAATGCTACTGTTTCTTTGTTTATTTGGGTTGGGGAAAGAATGCGGAATATAGAGGTTGAAAGGTTTCTCAAGGAAGATCCTTACCTGTGGTGGAGTGTAAGGCATTATATCCAGTTCACTAGCTAGTGGGGTCTGAAGCTGAGGCATAGAAGGTGTTTCAGTCATATCACCTTCCTCTTCTCCCATCTCTTCCATGTCCTCATCGCCTCCTTCCAACTCAGCAAATTTTGCTTCTAGCTGTTGAATCTTCTTTTCCAGTAGTGGAGATGGTTCCTTCTGAGGAACTATGGGTTTTCTGAAAGGTGGAGGACAAAGACAAAAAGCAGATGAGAATACACTCATACTTTACAGGAGATAGCATATATTTCTGAAGAGAAAACCAACTTTTCTTCCTTTATCATTGAACAACATGGAACCAATGGTGACTCAGGATGTGCCTGTGCTTCCTTTCAGAACACAAGTAGAAATCATTCAGTGTCTATGGACAGTGTTGCATTTCAGTCACTTGTTTGAAGGATTTTTTTTTTTATAATTATTATTTTTTATGAGTTAGAAGGGGATTTCAACGCAGCAAATACTTAATTTCTGCAACAGAAGGCAGTTAACACCACATCTTCCTTAGATTTTACCTTTTACTTAAGTTAGAACTTAATATTTTTATTAATATCAATGTTCACCAACCGCAAAGCTATTTATTACCCATAATGAGGATTTAAGTATTTTAATGGCATCCAAAAGAATTTACCAATCTGATAATGTAATGAATTTTACTAAAGTCAGGAGAATAAAAAGAAAACATCCACTGGTATTAAGAACATGAAAAGACTGCTATGATCTGGAGTTCCTTCCAAAAGTGTGATTAGTCAAAATTCATCTTCTCCTACAACTCTGACTTTTATAGACATACTGGGTCTGGCTGGGATGGAGGTAATTTTCTGCAGTGTAGCCCGTATGGTGCTGTGTTTTCTATCTGTGACCACAACAGCGTTGATAACACATCCATGTTGTAGCTATTGCTGAACAGTGTTGACACATCGTCAAGGCCTTTTCTTTTTACCACTCTGCCCCCCCCAGCAAGTAGGCTGGGGTGGGCAAGAAGCTGGGAGGGGAGACAACCAGGACAGCTAACCCAAACTGACCGAAGGGATATTGCATACCATATGACATCGTGCTCAGCAATAAAAGTTGGGGGCAAGGAGGAGGAAGAGGGGACATTTGGGGTTATGGCGTTTGTCTTTCCAAGTGACCACTACGCATGCTGAGGCCCTGCTTTCCAGGAAATGGCTAAACATCTGCCTGCTGATGGAAAGTAGTGAATTAATTCCTTATTTTGCTTTGTTTGCACGTGTGGCTTTGCTTCACTTATTAAACTGTCTTTATCTTGACCGAGGAGTTTTTCTTCCTTTTCCCCTTCTGATTCTCTCCCCCATCCCGGTGTGGGGGAGTGAGCGAGTGGCTGGGGGGGGGCTTAGCTGCCAACCAGGCTCAGTCCACCACAATACAAAAGAGTGCTCAGGTGACACCCACATTCCCATCACAATTTTACCTAAAATAGTATATTTCGTCATCTACAACTTTTGCAGATAGTGAAAACCTCTTCAGCCCTTTAAATTTCTTCATTTGTTTGTCGCTTTCATTGTAGCGGCTCTCACAAAGAAAAACATCATTTTCAGAGATTTCTGTTGGTCTGCAGGAGAGGAAGTCTTTGAACGACAGAACCGCACACTTTCCTGCAGAAATGAAAGAGCTGGGTAAGAAGGCAGCCACACTTGCAGACATTTTACAAAAAGTGTGGAAACTCAAGTTTTTGCCAGTCTCGTAAGTCTGGAAGATTCCCAGTATTTGGTGCAACTATGGAAAATACACCAATTGATATCCCTATTAAATAATGACACTCACAAGAAACCTACACAAACTTAATGCAGCTTTTGGATTTTTTTAAAGAACAAGAAAACCTGCAAAATAACAAAACCCCATGATCACTAGTAAGTTAACGATATTTAGCACAGCATCATAACTACAAAACAAATTACATAGTCATCATCTTATGCAACAAACCAAATTTCAGCCTCCTTTTGGACCGACTTTCCAGGTAACACATACTGGAATAATTACATTAAGAAGTGAGAATAATGGAGTTTTCTGTTCTCTGGCTGCAGACAATGTTCACTTTGATATCATACATGCAATTCCCTTATTGTAAGAAAGCTTCCTTATAGTGAAAATTCTCACTGCAGGTCCCAAAGACAGGAATGCATACTAGAAATGGACTGAATAATCTCTCCTCCCCTACTCAATATGAAAAAAACCATACTTGGAATCAAGCCTACACATAACTATAAAACACTTCAGATCATATAGGTACCCAAAATGCAAGTCATCGGACAGGTCTCCTCCAAGTTACTCAAAAATACTTCCTTCTTGTAGAACATTTTAGTTGGTTCATGTTCAGTTTCTTCAGGATGTATAAAGATTGGGCCAAAGAAATACGCAGCTCCATCTCGCACCCACATCTTTTCAATTCTGGAAAGAAAACCAAACCACTGACATATATGAAAGGCCACCCCTCCTAAATGAGACAGCTAGATGCACTAGGTTGTTCAGGAAGACTGTCGTTAAAAAATGAGTGCAGAAGAACAGCCTATTCCAACTGTACAACTCTTCTCACCTTTTTATTAGGTGGCTAAACTTTTGCCTCAATCCGTTAAGAGCTTGTAACATTTAGCTTAATTCAGAAGATTTTTTTCCCCGTGCTTTTTTATACTTTTTGCAACAAGCCCATCTTTTGTCCAAGTTATTTTTATAGACAGAAACTGCAAATAAAGAAGTTGCACTTACCTTCCTACCCGAGGTCGCACTAACCCATGTGATTTTATGAAGACACAGTCCCCAACCTTAAGCCACATATCATTGTAGCAGAGCTGTTCAAAGTAATGGCAACCAGGTTCTCCATTGGACATTTCTACTGGAACATCTTCTTTGTCCTGCAGAAGAATATGCATTTAGAAATTTGTGGAAGAAGGAAAACCAAACATATAAATAAAAAGACGCCAAGCGCAAGTAAAAGACTTTGCTCTATCTTTACGTTACCAATAACAGGTAAACACTAAACAGAGCTGTACATGCAAAAGTGAGGGGCTTTGAAACTTAAAAATTAAATAGCAAAGCCGAAGATACCCTCCATGTACGTCACAAGCTTTCCTATTTCACAAAGCTGTAATTTTGCCAGAACAGTAATTTACAGGTCCTTTTTTGTTCTACTGTGTCAAAGTTAACTGGCCAAGCCAAGCCTTGTCAGCTTATTTTGCTTCCCCAAGGTGTGGAAGGAAAAGACCCCATAAGTTTTCATTCTCTCAGTAGAAATAATTCATTCTTTTGTCATGATGTGAATAAATACAAAGTGTCTGATTAAAGCTGACAATGAGTGTGCTAGGCGGGTATTCTGTTCTGAGGTGCTGTTAGAGAACTCAATGTAAAGTGGACTTATTTTATGACTCTAAGTTTATTTTTTATAGCTCTAAATTTATTTCAGATAAATTTAATTACATTTATTTCTTTTATGACTCTAAATACAATAAAATAAAGCATTTTACCCAGTATGTTGGACAGAAATATTCTTAAGCATTTTGACAACAAACCACTCCGTTATCAACCATAAATAGGTCACAAGCAACAGAATATTAAGTATTGCTTACTGCTGCCTAGCTACTGACTATTTTACTGAAATACTACATAATAAAGCATTGCCATGAACTAAAATTAGACTTTTAGTTTTACTGATTCTTTAGGCTTAAGGCAAGCTTTACAGTTAAAGTGTAAATTTTTTTTCTGAAGTGGTATAAAACAAACAAACAACCCCTTCACACAATTCCAAGAAAGCATTTGTAGAATCTAGCAAATATGTACACAGTTTATTTTCTGTTTAGTCTATTTATATGTTGTTTGTATTTATTTACAGATGTGTATAACAATTTATAACATAAATATTATATTTATTTATATGTTATTGTGTCTGCATGCCATGAAACCGAAGTCACAAGGGCTCACATTTTGTCATTCTTTATCTGTCAAATATATTCAATGTTCCCCTGTTATCTTACATACCTTTTCAAGATGAAGGATACTTTCTCCCACCTTACTGTCCTCCAGTGTTTCAGCATGTTTCTCCTCATCTACTTTGTCTGTATTAGCAAATACAGAAGCAACACGGACCACAGGCAGGGGTACATCTCGTGGGACAAATCTTACAGAGCTTACAGGCATAGTCCACAGTTTTATCTTTTTAAAAGATTTTGTCTTTGCAGAATAACGTGACTCACAGACATAGACATCCTCATCTCTGAAGTTTTCAGGACACAATTTAAAATATTCCTGCAGATTGAAGAAAAAAAGATGAACTATTTCAGCAACACACACACGCATACCCACAGACACACAGTGAACTCCCTCCCATGCTTCCTGTTTTTTTCTACGTTTCTGTCAGAAACACTTTTAGACTAATAAAGCCTTTCTGCTGAGTTCTTTTCTTCCAGTTTGACATCCAAGTTACATTAAAAATTAAAAGCCAACAACAAGAAATCCTGCCCTTAGAGAAGAAGATAAATTCAGTGCAGGTTATCATGTAAGAAAAGTTAGGTTTTATTCATTTACCAAACCACTACATTAACAAGTACAAGATCTGCAGGCCAAAACCACCTTTACAAGATTTCTGAGCTTTGACTTGGAAAGAGGACATGACCACCAATTTCTTTTTTGGGGGGGAGAAGGGGGAAGTAAGGTCCATGCTCATTGATATGTGACTGTGATACCCATTCATGTACTCAGCAGCTGTAGCACTTTTTTCCATATGAACACACTACCTCTAAAAACTGATTGAGATAGATATGTTGCAAGCAAGCCAAAAATCCTCAGCACAAGGATGATGTGGAATCAAACTTGAGACAGAGGTGAAAGACTTCATCCTCTTACCAAGCCATTCAAGTCCCCACCAAACCTAAACCTACATGCTTTTATGGGAATCTTAGAGAAGTTACCTGCAATTTCTCTACTACATGCTCTGAAAAATCAGTTAGCTTATTATCTAATAGGCATATGATTCTACAAACCAACCAGCACTGAGAAATGCCATCACTTGGATGAACTACGTATCTCATGAAGCAAATGAAGAATACAAACAGCACACAGGAGCGAGTCCTATTTTATGTAAGTATTAGTAAAATGCCTCTGTTAGAATACCTACATCTCTTCAAGAAAACAGCAGAGAACACATTATTTGCTTAACAATTAGTCTGAATAGTCTCTCACCTTAACAAACATGACCACGCATTTGCCCAAAATTTTGCTAACAGGAACTTTATTGTAATAGTCACTTTTAAAAACTTCTTTCTCCAAGAATTTTCGTGTTGCAAGATGAAACGTTTCATTTGGTCGATAAAACCAACAGCCGTAGAGCCATTTCTCTCCTTAAAAAAAACCAAAAACAACAAAAAACAAACACCAAAAAAGAGAGAAAAAAAGGAGAAAAAGATGTAAAGTGGTATATTCTCTAGTGCATGAGCAAGAAAAAACAACTATAGATTGACTGATTAATCAAATAGCCATGTAGTCATTTATACGGAGAGTAAACTGTTTTAAAACAGGACAAGATTCCTTAACTGTTTCAGGTAAGGAAAACTAGGTGGCTTAAAAAGCCTGCAAATTGTTTTTTCCCCAGTAAAACCTGACTCGGCCAAAATAAAGCAGGAATCAGTTCTGTTGAGCCAGATGAATTCAGGAAACAGTATGCAACTTATTTATAAATCTTGACTTTCAAGCCTTGAAATGGCTTCAAAGTCTACACAACAATCACTTGATTATCTGAAGAACCTTGGATAACTGGTTTCAAGTTTTTAAGAACTATTTCTTCCATGTTATGCTGTGACAAATTCAAATTGTTAACAATGATTTATAAACAAGTTACAAGTATGTACTATTTTTCTAAATCAAAGAAAATCTGTAATCTGTAGACTGAACCAGAATATAAAGTGCTATTCACTTTCTCCACAGACAAACAAACATAAGAAACGTCCAACTGGCCAATGGTCCATCTACCCAAATACGCTGCATCCAACTGAGTGAGCAGGACAGGCTATTAGGAGAATGCATTTGATCACGGCCAATCTCTATAACTCATTCCACTCCTTCTACAGTCATTGCATTAGGGGTTTTAGAGAGCTATTCGCTTTATCTGGCTATTATTTGCTGATTATTCCCTTTATTATTTGCTTTAGACCTGTTGTACATGGACTTGCCTCATGCATTTTTGAACCTGCTGTTATAATCTGCCTCCACAAGCTCCTGGGGAAGCCAGGAGGCTCACGACACACTGTATTAAAAAGCCAAACACTTTCACATATTTTAATCTGATTTATTAGTGTCAATGAGTGCCCTCTAACTCCAGTACTGCGAGATTTGTTGAATAGTATTTCTGCATTCACCTTATCTACCCACTTCATGATTTTGCAAACCTTAATTATATCCTGCCTTACATTTCTCCTCTCCAAATTTAAGAGTCACGGTCTTTTTAATCTGTCTTTGTAACACATCTGTTCCATCCCTTTAAAAAAAAGTGCAACCAAAATTGTTAACTCCACTATACCCCACTGTACTTCTCAGCAACCGTAGTTTCCAGCACTGCTGAGAGTGCACCATGTTTATCTGATACTCTTACCGTATCTCTAGACTTCCTTACACTTAAGAGAAGTACCTGCTGCAAAAAGAATGCATTGCTGATGAGAAAAAAACAAAACAGTACTTGTTATGGCTTGATTTGGCCTAGGAAATGCAAGATTCAGCTCAATTCTGAAATTTAACAAAGGCAAGTTCTGAAGCTGCCTTGTTCTGTGGAACATTTGCAGTTAAATGTGCCCAACTTTGGTTCAGATTTCTCAGCACAGAAAAACCCCATGTGTTCTTCTGCACCTAAATTACAAGGAGCCCATCCCACTTAGAAGAGCCTATTCTCTGGCACGCTTACAATTTGAGGGTAGGTAGAGACGAACAACAAAAAAGCGTGTGCTGATCCAAGAACTTTATATTTGTAATATTCTTTGGAACAAAGCAACTCAGAAACAAGAAAAATACTCACATACTTCTCAAGTAAAATAAATAACATCTACACAGAAAAAGCTCAAATTGGAAGTTTTAAATAGTAATAAGTTTCACCATACTGTTTCCCTATAGCATAGACACCCTTACCAGCTGAATCTTCCCACAGCCTCTCAATACAGACTATGTGAGGTTGCAAGTTGGCTTCAGCAGGCTCCACATACACATAATCTCCTACATGGTACATGCTGTTCTTGAAGCTGCAATCCTGGCTGTAGGTCCGATGCAAGCTTGACAGCCCAGCTGATCCAGAAGAATCTTCACTCTTTTCAGCTTCTTATTTCAAGAAGGGAAAAACAGATGTTAGTAATGGCACATTTCCACATTAGCCAAGATTGCCGATATGAACGCCCTCACCCTTTGCTGCGTGCAGAAGTGCCACATGATACCTGATGCATCTGCCCCTCTGTCACTGCCTTCCAACGTGAAGGAAGGGTTTAAGCCTGTTTTGTGCTGCTAGCCTTTCTGCTACTGGTGCTGCTCAAGGTTGGGTTTCACTTCTTCGGTTGAATTTTACTGAGCCCTCCCAGTGAGTGAAGACAAACTCAGTGACAGCACTGAGCTCAGAAGCCTTCAGAAAGGCATGTTTTGCTTTCTTTGGGATTTTTAGGTCTCAAAGGAAGACAGAAAAAGGGCATCACAGCTGTTGTCCCCTTATAATACTGAGCCTGGCCAGAGCAACCAGACTTTACTGCTGCTGACATTAGTGCTATGTGGGAAGATGAACCATGTTAGAAAGACAATTCAAAGACAAAGAGCTAACAGCTCTGCTCCCATCTGTGGAAAGGGGCAATTAGAAAGCTTTATTCATTCCCCTAGACATGCTCCACAATGATTATATGGACAGTAACAGCCAGGAACTGTGAAACACAAAAGACCTTCACAGTAGGTTTCTTGCCCTACAAAATTATGCAAGCCCATTCTTCTTCACACTCACAGTAGCCAAGTAAGAAATGCAAAAATTTTACTTCAATAGCATTTCTTTAGCAGTGTTAAAAGCTACATCAGCACATCAAGAAAACAGTATTTGCCAAAAAGGAAACAACTAAAAGGTCAATTGGAACAGTCATTGCTAAGTTTATTATCAGCAGAAAGCTATAGTAAAAAGCTATGGTTTTCTTTTATAATATCCTTGAAATAAGACTACTGGTACTCCAATGTGTTCTGATTAAAGAGTTTCCATAAGGTTAGTATCTACCCACATCTCTTTCTTAAAGCTGGCTGGTATGGCTGATAAGGATCAAAATAAAATAAATCTCTCGTAACTTTAAAATACAAGACCCTTGGTGGACAACCAGACTATTAAATCCTTTCAGTTCGTGAAGCTGCAGCAACAGCAGAGCATGCATTATATGCATAGGTACATTTTTCAATTAATACATTTAAAATTAATGAAAAGAAAGTAGCTACCTCTCTTCTCCTCCTCTCTTTTGAGCTTATCCTCCTCTATTTCTTTGGGCAGCTTCTCCTTCTTTTCCTTTTCTACATCGTTGTGAAGATGCTTGGTGGTATAGCTGAGAGCAGGTGACAGAAGAATCTCTCCATTCTTACAAAGTTCGTCTCGAATTTTAATAAAGAACTGCTGAAGTTCAACTGCATCCTCGTAAATCTCTGAATCAGTCCTGTGCAAAAATACACAGAACAGGACAGAAACACAGTTTGTGCAGAGTCAAACAGCATCCTAAACGCATACCCATCAATCGCCACACTTAGTGATAAAACTAAAGCTTCACTCTACCAATAGATTTCTGTGCTTACTCATAACAAGCAGCAGCAGACACTGGCAAGTCATGCTCCACCTGCTACTCTGCTATCAGTTTGTATTATAGTTTACCTAAAACAGTATTTTTGTACACACCAGTCCTGAAATACCAGAAAAATCAAATGTAGTTGATTGCGACCAAAACTACTTGCCACTGGACCTCTACAACCTGTTAACTTCTGAAACTTAAGTAATAACATTATTATTAACAAAACTGACTTATTTTAATTACCCATACTCCTGTTAGTAAATGTTTTAATATCATTTTTTACCTCCTCTACTTCAGAGTCAAGATTTTACCTGCACATCCCCAAGTACTCTCCCTACTTCAAGTAAAACACTGCAAGAAGTTGCAAGTGTTCATAGTTTTTGCACAATATAACCATAACTCATACAACTGTGATTGCTCCAAAAGAGTAATCCACTAGTCAAGCAGTGAGTGAACAGCTCCTCCTCTTCATTTTTTCAATTTCAAAGTTAGCACAAACCTGGTTTTCATGAAGTGTGCCTTTGAAAGATGAACACCAAACTTACTTCCTGGCAGAAACCTAACTTTTTCCTTGTTTTTAAACGAAAGCATACTTCCACTAAAGATGTGATAGAGCTTTTGAGATTTAGTTTTCTAAACAGCCATATCAAGGAAAGCAAATACCTTAAAAAAAAAAAACTTTAGCCTTTGTCTAATGCTAACATGCAAAACTCATGCGATAAGACAAAGGATACCCGAAAAATATGGCTTCGCTCACCTGTTCATTCTCCTTGCCCTCTCCAGTACATCAAACATATTCTCCTGGAACAAGTCCAATCTTCTATAGCGATTATTTTCAACATTTTTTCGGATAATATCAAAAGTCAGAGGAGGTTTATTTGGGAAGTTGGGATCAACAGCAGGAACTATAGCATCTGCCCTCATCATCCTGGTGGCTCATAACAGATACAAAAAGGTTATGGATAAGTTCCTGAATTAGCAAAGTGACATTGGGCACATGAGAATCCTCATCTCCTTCTATTTCTCTCCGAGTTTCAAGCAAAACTTTATGTAGGACCAGAGCATCTTTATAAATCAAAGATTCTGGCTCGTTATATGTGCAAGCGTTATTGAACATCATTACAAAGTCCTCTACCATGGAATCAATATCCTGGTATTTATTTGCCATCATATGGCTTCTGATCTTTTCCATGTCAACGGGCTTTTTAATGGTTACATAATAGTCAGGAAGCTCAGACCGAGATGGCAGCCTCAAGAAGATGGCGCTCAGTCGCCTGCCTCGTTTATCCGTGTAATTCTTAACTGCTTCATAGACCTCATTCAGTTTCTGTTGCATTGGAGTCATGTATTTCGATTTTTTAGGAGAAATGCCACTTTTTCTACCTAAGCAGACAAAAAGGAAAACAAAAAAAGAAAAAAAATCACTACAAAACCAGAGCTTGCACACTGCTTTGTCCATCTCCTTTCCATTGAAGAACTGCTTATTGAAGAACGACTTCACTGTATGAGCAGAAGACTCATAACATGGAGCCCATTCCAAGTTGCAGCTTCCTTTATTTTTCATAATTGTATGAATATTTTTTTTAAATGTTATTTTTGGCAAACACAGAATCATATGTTCCTATGTGGTCCACCTGGTGACGGTCTCTTCAGACTTAAGCATGGAAAACATCTTTTCCTACCTAATATTATTAATAGCTCCTCTAAATTCAATTTGGTCTTAGTAGCTCTACATGAATTTCTCTCTACAGCTGTTACAAATCCAATCATCACAGGGTTTTTGCTATCACTAAAATTAAGCATTCTAAATATTATGAGATTCCTTTATGACAGGTTTATGCCAAATTAGAGAGGATTATTACAGGTGAAATATAAAATATGGCCTCCCATGGGATTATCAATCAGATTAGCTTTTTGATTAATTCAGGATCTCTGTTACTGTATTTTATAGTCCCTGTCTGAATTCTCTACTACCTGTACCTTACCTAAGAGCTGCACATTTCTATTTCAAGAAGGCTGTGTGCAACTGTTTTCTTTAAGCCTTTCTGTGCAATTTTAACCTTCTCAGTTTGTTAAGTTCTGAACACATATTAAGGGGACATAAGATTTGAGTAGTAGCAAGCGTAGTTTTTAAGGCAACAGGTCTAGGAACAAATATTGTTGGAAATTTCCCTTGTGCATTTTTCATGACTTTCAATAATTTTCCAAATAAAGCTCACATTTCTTTTATCATTCTGTGGAAATCGCAGCCATTTGACATGGGAAATTAAGAGCTTTACTCAGTTTGAGAAGCACCTTATTTGTAAGCAATCCCAGCAGCACACATTAAGTGTGTTAATGAAGTGTTACTGAGCACATAATGCAGCATCTAACATTTGGATAACACTACATGACTAAATGCCAGTCATTCCAGTAATTCCTCAGTTTTCTTTCTTCATTCTAAGTTAGTTTTCTTAGAAAACACTATATGCAACAACTAAATTCTATTATATACACATATAAACACATCATTGTTGTCATGATTTTGAAAATAGAATTCTACTTTGCACGTCAGTATGAATTTGCAGATCACGTCTTCTACTCTAAAAGGAAGATCTGTTAATCTGTATTGCAGGGTTTCCGTACGTGTTGATATGAGACATAGCAATGTACAAGGTTGCCTTACTTAGCTTTAGTTTAGGGGATGCAACATCATCATCTTCAGCTAAGGGTCCCAGTTCTTTCCTTTTTTCTTTAAGGATCTTTTCCAGCATATGAGCATCATTGTATACCTATTAATCAGTAAAGTAATCAAAAACCAAAACAAAACAAGGTTTACTGTGTTTAGACTAGTTTAGAACTAGCCCCTAAGAAACATTTAAGTGTTAGTCTGAAAAAACTGAACGCAAAACCAAGTACTTGATTAAAAAGAAGGGCTTATTTCTCAAATGTACACCTTTAATAGACTTATACACGTAAGCAGACCTGATGAACATCATCTAAATCAGGGAGATATAAATCTTGAATAAATTATCCAATTAAGCTGCATTTCTATTCCAAAAATACAAAACGGCAAGGTGCAGTTGTCTTATCAACTTCCTCATCAAACCATTCTGCTGAGCAATGAAAGATCTCTTGAACTATTGTGACTGCATCAAGGTACACAGGACTAGAACAGTCCTCCTGGGTCTTCAAATCCAACCCTGGTGAACGCGACCTCATCATAAAGTCCTGTACAGTAGCTTATCAAGTTCCTCATTAGAAATAGCTGGAGGTTTCTTACCACCACTCTGTTCCACAAAATCATTGCTTGCTGGCTGAGAAACATCACAATATAGAAACATCCTACAATATATTTGTAGAGTGAAAAGCATATTCCTTTCAGACTCCTTTTGCTAGACTAAACAAGTCAGGTCTTCTAGTCTGATCTCCCACACTCTCCCACTTCCATGAATACAAAGTTGGTTTCTTTCCAACTAAGACATTTCTTCTCAGAGGTTCTCAGCTCCAAATCACATGCTGATGACCGTTCATTGTGCAAATACCTTCAGGTGATTAACTGAGGATGAATAATGAGAATTTAGTAACCAGCTTATTTTTTTTAAATGTACTAGGAAACATTCAGCTGACATTCTTTGTAGTGGAAGAACAAGTTTAGCTAACGGGAAATAAGTCTAACCTTTGCAAAGGAAGGTGTTGCATTTCATGTATATACAACTATAGACCAAGACAGAATTTAAAACACCAGCAGAACAAAAAAAGTCACGTTTCTATTTTAGTTCAATAAACAATTATCATAAATCATGTGAGTAATAGTCAAAGCTAAACCATCCTAACATAACTTATATGTCTGCAAAGAAACAGAGAATTAAGTGTGACTGCAGAATCAAAACACTACCTGGGAGCCTTCCTCATTATAATGCCTTGCATTTCGGAACATGAGCTTCATGTCTTCAATCATGGCTTCTTCCCCTGCATACTTATCATTGCGGATGTTGTGTTCTATCATTTTCAAGTCCATTGGCTCCAAGATAATTTTATAATAGTCCGGATAGTCCTTTTTGGATGGCTTAACCATAAACAGATCACAGAGCCGTCTGCCTGTGCCTGATTCTCGAGCTTCCAGAACTGCATTGTATAAGATCTTCATTCGTTGCTTTCGTATATTCTTTTTACTGTTAGGTTAAAGAGAAGAATAAAAAGAAAAAGAATAAATGTCAGGGGCTCTTTTCCCCACTTTCAACACTAGTATCAAAATGACATAATCCTCTACCATGAGAAAACAAGCACAACCACCTAGACACGCATGCAAGAATCACAGAATAGTTTTAAGTTGGTAAGACCTTTACGATCATCAAGTCCAACCTAGGACTGCCAAGTCCACCACTAAACCATGTCCTCAAGCACCACATCTACATGTCTTTTAAATACCTCCAGGGATGGGGACTCAACCACTTCCCTGGGCAGCCTGATCCAATGCCTGACTACCCTTTCAGTGAGGAAGTTTTCCCTAATATCCAACCTAAACCTCCCGTGGCTCAACCTGAGGCCGTTTCCTCTCGTCCTATCACTTGTTACAAGGGACAAGAGACCGACCCCCACCTCGCTACAACCTCCTTTCAAGTAGTTGTAGGGAGCAATAAGGTCTTCCCTCAGCCTCCTCTTCTCCAAACTAAACAAGCCCAGCTCCCTCAGCCGCTCCTCATAGGACTTGTGCTCCAGACCCTTCACCAGCTTTGCTGCCCTTCTTTGGACACACTCCAGCACCTCGTGTCCTTCTTGCAGTGAGGGGCCCAAAACTGAACACAGTACTTGAGGTGCGGCCTCACCAGTGCTGAGTACAGGGGCACCATCACCTCCCTGGTCCTGCTGGCCACACTATTTCTGATGCAAGCCAGGATGCTATTGGCCTTCTTGGCCACCTGAGCACACTGCTGGCTCATGTTCAGGCGGCTGTCAACCAACACCCCCATTTGCAAATAATGACAGCATCATAACCAGCAGTCTGCTAAATAAACAGGAAATCAACTTTAAGATATGATTTTTGTCTCATTCACCTTGAGTTTAAGTGTTCTACAGAATAAAACAAATAACTAGTTTTCAAAACTGCAAAGGTCAAAAGGAGCTCTAAGCACTTTCCAGCCACAGAGGAAACAGATCAGTCAGGTCTAGGCATCTGAATCCAAGACCTCAAGATCTAGTGCAAACAGAGAAAAACCCCTCACCCAGTATCTTCCTGACTACCTCTGCTGAATATAGAATATCAAAGACTTGAGCTATTTATCTCAAAGTAATTCTGTATCTTCTTCAATACCAGATACAAGAAAAATAAGGACATCAAGAATAGTAGAAAGAAGGGTTTGAATTGCTAAATATCTGTCAACCACAGTCAAATGAAGTTACAAGTCCATAAAGCTCATCAAAACTGCAAACCCAGGTAGAAAATGGCCACGTACATGCTATCAACACAAACTTAAGAGTCATCCTATGTGTAGCTATTACAGTTGTCTCAAAAAATCTGACAGCACAATTAAGACACAGCTTATCAGGAAAACAGTTATGTGTGGCTCCCTGTACATATACTACATAATCTATAAGCAAATCAGATAAGGGAGAGGAAAGCTTATGTTAATAATGTATAAGCTCAGCTCAGATACCGTGCCACTTTTAGAAATGCACTCTCTACAAAGCACTTTTAAACCAGCTTTCAATTACAATCTCCGTAAGACTTATTCAGGTAGTTATAACTCCATACTATCTGTACAGACAACAACTACCTTCATTTGCAGAATGTGCAAAACATCACTGTACAACTTGCTAGAAAACAAACTGCATCACAGATTTTCCATCATCTGGATCTCTTCCTCCTACATTTAAAATATATTTAATCCAGTATAGCCTCATGCCTCAGATATCTCGTGCTCCTTGGTAAGGTCAGCAAAATAACTAATGAAAATTAATGTCACAACACATGAGAAAATTCAAAATGTATCTTCTATAGGTTAAAAACTTTTTTCCGCATTATCCTCACTGCTGGAAACTGTTAGTTAGTGGTTCACACTAGCAGATGAGCAATGCCAGAACAGAGACATGCTTCCAAATTCCACATTTTAACATGTTTCCAAGTTTTAACATTTAGTTCAATGAAAGTAGGTAAAGCAAAACCAAAGCAGAAATAGTAAAAAGCCTGCCAATACTCAAGATTCAGGTCATGCATCTGATACATAAAGGGGGACATTCAAACTAGTTTTGTCTGTGTCACTATTACTTTCCCAATGGGATGGATTTTGTCTGGGTTATTAATTTCCTTTTCCAGCAACATTTTGGAATTCCTCTCACTTTTGCTGTCAGCAGCATTTACAATCTTCTTTTACTTCCTATCATGCAGCAAGTGAAACTTACAGTAAGTATTGAACTGACAACATCAAAAGCATTTTCAGGTTCTCTTCAGGCATGAAGAAAATCAAATAATTTTTATTTCCCTTACCTATGAACACAACTTTTTCTCTTTTACTGTTCTTAGATGACAAGGCCTGACAGATTTTTTCTTTTAAGCATTTCAGTATTCTCTTGCACAAGGTGATCAAAAGCAATATACGGTTAACGGCTGGACTCAATGATCTTAAGGGTCTTTTCCAACCTTAACGATTCTATGATTCTATGAAAAGGACACTGATGACAGTTTGACTTGCTTGGTTAGGTTAGTAGTTCTCTTAAGATCACAAAACTAGCAATTTTTGCAATTTGTTCCTTCCTGATCTTCATTTGGTCCTGTGGTCTGTCTTACTGTTCTGCTACGTTTCTTCTTCCTAGCATCCCTAGACTGTACCACCTCTTACATCCATGTTAATATTTTCTCTCTGTATGAGTGTACATTGTTGCACTTACTTGATTGCTCTTAAGTGAATCTTTGGTGATGCTCTAGTTCATTCCCTTCCTCCCCCCACAACTGCTGTCACTTTGACAAAACAAAGAACTAAAAATACAGGAAGCTGAAGGTCACAAGCAACACCAAAGATGCATGCTGAATTACAGTTTTACACTGAGAGTTGCTACTATTGCAATAATATTATCAGAAGTTGGAACTTTTTGCAAATGATACCATGAGGCAGACTAGAGAAACTATCACTTTTTGGAGTGAAATACGTCACTAACATTAATTACACAACAGCTATCACTGTTAAAGAATACTTTCCATAAACCATCATTATTGCTCACTAAAAGAGTATATTTCAAATCACTGTGAATTTTGTTACAGTATCCAGAATAATCAACCTATTATACTCAGTTTATCTGTTTGTCAAATACCCTCTTTGTCCCAGCCACTGACAGGTAAGTAACCGAAGAGCGCAAATTCAGAAGGGAGAGAGAAGTAGTCCTCTAACATTAATGATGAAAACTCCTCAAGCAGAGTTCAGGTCACGGAAAATGAAAATATTTATGCCAGAAGACTTCACCAAATAAAAGTATTTCTAGAGTAATACCATAAACTTTCAAAAAATTAATTCAACTATAGTGTTAACTTTAATTATATTCTGAAATTGCTTCCCAAACTACATAAATAGTCATATATCAGAGAATTAGTAGAAAAGAAGCAATAATTGCTAACAACCTGTGAAGACAGTCCACACACCAGGCTAAAAAGAATAAAACACAAATAAAAATCCTGAAATCCACTGACAAAATTACCTAATTCAGTGCAACTACAGTGTCTATGCCACTTACTGAACTGATGTTGACACCTGCCAATTAATAGGCCAAAAAAGGAAAAGAAAGTCAGCAAATAGTTTTGCATTAATTAGAACCAACACTTAATGAGAACAACAACAACAAAGAACTACAAATCCTTACACAAATGCTAAAACCCGTGGCTTAATATTCTCTTTAACAAATAAAAGATGTAGCAATGTCATGGTCTGCAGGAACTACAGAAGTGCATACCTTTTCCTTTTTGAGCTTCCAGTATCAGATGTAGCAGAAGAAATCATACTGTCCCCATCCTCAATGTCATCTCTCCTAGCAAGCTCCTTCTTCTTTGCCTGAAAAAAGAAGAAATCCCTGAAGCCAAACTCACAGCTGGACATTTCCAGAACAACACTAAACATCAGAACAGATCAGATGCACAAAGAAAGATGCAACTATGGGTTTTGAGACTAAACCACAATCAAAATACTTCCAGTGACTTATTTAATATGAGTTGGCCAACATAAAATAGCAGTATAATTCTTTTTAACTGTCAGAAAAATTTTTGAGGAATCAATTTGAAAACAATGTCATTTCAGACTGCAGCACTTAGCTGGAACACTTCACGAAATTTGAAGTGTTTTAGCATTTGAAGTGTTTTTACCTGCACACCCTAAAAAAAACCCCACATCATCAATTTTCTCACAACTTAATTGGGTGAAGAGTCATAGTAAGGAATAAAAGTGACCAAAAGAAATCACAGAAGGCAGCAGGTGTGCTGAAGAAAAATCATCCTATGATGCTCTTCATTCCCATACTTCCCCTTAAGCAAGAAAATACTACTGCAAATACAGGTCTAGTCACAAATTATTTTGGAAAAATATTCATTAGGGAAATAAATTCACGTGTGAAGTTATATCCTTTTGATTGTTCTACTCCACATACCTGCATAACTTGCTGCATTTTCAGTACTCTTTTATAGATGGCAGAATTGGGAACATTGTAGCGCTTGGCATTTTCAAACATCAAGTTCAGATCAGCCTCCAACTGATCTAAAGTCTCATATTCATGGTTCTTCAGTTTGGTTCTGCAAAAGAGTGGAATATCTGATTGGTATTTCTCAAGTTACACATGGCAAAACAGTTCTTTAACATCTTCATTTTCACAATAAATCAATATCCAAAGAGCTCTAATTACAGGTACATGTTTTCTTTTTCTGATGCTGCAGTAGCATCTTCCAATTGTAACTATATTAGACAAACATCTCCTCTTAAAGAATAATTTTAATAGTTCTGAAATCTGCCCTCTTGAAAGCTGTGCAGACTGAGGTCCTGTTTTCATACTCATATGAGATGTGGCACAGATGAGGCAGAAGCACAACCTGCTGAGACTATGCCAATATACCCCAGCTGTGACCTGTAGGGCCTGGGTATGATGTCAATGCGACAGATTAGTTCCGCACAGCCACAAGCACTGCCTTCCCTACACTTCAGTGAGAAACAAAAGTGCCCAACACCTATCAAACTAATCCCCTCCAATTCCTGCCTTCTCTTAAAACCACCTGGTTGTTGACTGATGCTACCCGTAGAAACGTGCTTCATGTGAAAACAGCTAGAATTGGACTAACGACAAAAAAAAGTCATTTTTCATACGCTAAACAGGCAAAATCAGTGCACTTAGTTTGCCAATAACGTGTTTTCTCGTATTTCCTTGCACAGGTGGTGAAAGTTTTAGCCAACTTTTTTAAAGCTTCCAACACCTCATTAAACACAACAGAAAATAGTAATCTGTAACAACAAAAAACCCAAACCCTATCACAACTGCAAAACACAGTCATCCTCCTTCACACCTCCTTCCTGACCCGCTTGCCCATCACATCCACTGGTTACACCCCACATTCAACCCGCTCACTACCTTTAAACCTCGTCTGGTTTCTACAGCACCTAGCTGAATGTGAACCTGCCTGATGGAGCACAAGCACTACCACAAAACAAATATAATATCTTTTAGTCCCAAGCCTTACCCGCCGATGTGACCTTTCAGCTGAACCAGCAAACAAAGAGTAACAACGTTGAACCTGTGTTAAATAGGACTCTTCACTAGTCAGCCAAGGATGAGGAAGTCATGGTTGGATTAAACGTGGCACGGACCTGCAGCTGCTATAAAAACTACTGAGAAGTGCACATGTGTCTATGAAGCTGTCACGATGGAAATACATTTTGCAGGAAGCATCCAACTAACTGCATGTTGCCAGGATGGCAGCTGCATGTACCTTACTAAAATGTAGCACAGCTCTTCTTCATTCCTTTCAGATCTGAGGAACTAATACGTCCTGAATGACTATGAGAAAAGCAAAAAATAATTTTGGACAAATATCCTAAATGTAAGATGTGGGGAAAATTACTTGTTGCCATTCTCATTTAAAATGAACCATTTTAGGCTCATGTATCTTTTTTAAGACTTTAAGACATCAGTATCTTGCAAACCTTTATGCATTGTTTTTAGATTCTTTTTAATATTTCCAACTGAAGCAACAGATAATCGAAAAGTTTTCCTGCCAGCTTCACTCACTCTGCCATTCAAAAAAAAGGAGAGTTACCAATATAATTTTCATTAGATTAGTAAAAAATACAAATAATAATAATACAAACACACACACCCACACCCTCCCCCAAAAGCAAAAGAATTTGGGTACCAATTAAATTGCCATGAAGAGAACACAAAGTCAGCCTCCATTTCTACCTTGTAAAACTCCAGCAACAGTTATTAGCATATGTTAAGGAATATGCAACTGGTATTAAAAAAGTAAAAAACAAAATAAAAAGCCCATTAGATTCAGGATTACTTTCCCTTAAACCACTAGCATATGATGCATATGCTCATAAATACTGAGGATGTAAACACTGAGTCTACTTCATGCTTTTGCCACTGTCTGGTAGCAAACACTACAGGTCACCTTACATCTTCTCCAGCTAATCTGAACGCTCTCTGGTACAGAAAGCAAAATCTATAGAGTAAAATGTATGTAATGAATTCTTGTAGTCCAACAAAAATATTGACAAGCAATTACTGGACTTCAGCACACAAACACTTGTTGGCATTACAAAAGCTAACACATCATTAATAGAATACTCGAGAAAACATAGAATAGAAAGGCTCAAAAAACTTGCATCAAAAAAGCCAACTAATAAGCTCATATTTATCACAAACATCAAAAGTGAGTTTTAATTTTTTTTAAAACAGAATTATTTAAGAACATTCTAATTTGTCAAGGCACACAGGGTAATTAAGTGTGTAAACAAGCAGTAATTGCCTTGTTTACTGATGTTATTACAAATGTTTACAAAATAGATTCAAACTTTAAAAGGATTAATGGAAAACAAAAATAATGTCTAAAGGCAATTCTGCATCTTAGAAAAAGGTACCCAAGTCAGCTAAACTACTTTAGAGATTAAGAACATAAAAAAATTCAAAAAGCAAGTTCTACGTAGAAATCAATTAAGGAGCAGCACTGGAGAGAAATGCTGACCAACAGACTTTTTTCTCCCCTTGGATGTAGACAGCATCAGCATAATTTGTTTCCAAGCGACAACTGATACTGAGAAATTTGCAGATTTAGGCTCTAACTAAGGATCTAATAAAGTGAAGACTGGCACAACTGCCTTAGATTTGAATATTAAATACTTAAATTAAATACTAAATAATATTAAAACGTCCCAATGCTTTTTACCGACAAAGACAACTGCTAGAGGACAAGGAATCATGCTTCAGAAATCATAGCCACCAAGCTGAGATAAAGTCCTCTCAAGATCTACTCTGCAGTTCATCCTCTTGCAAGTAAGCAAGCGTGCATGCATTTCAATTTTGCTTAAATATTAGTAGCATGTAGTTTATAAACATTCTTGAGCAACTCTGGCATGTTTGCTTTCTTCCAGAGAACTAAAACAAGCTTTGAGAGACTGGACAGCAGGAAGACGAAAAACTGTAAAAGTTTCTAGTCTTCCAATTAATTTAATAAGTTAGAATTACAGAATTGCAAGTTCACATTTTGATCACTGCTGCATGAGGTTTGGGTTCAGCTTTCTGAAAGAGTAACCCAAAAGACTACATCTAAATTAAAGTACCACTTCTTCAATTCAAATTGCTTCTCCCTACTATCGCTTTGTGCTACTCCTCTTTATTTGGAGTTGTTCTGTAGCCAGCTTAACACTCCAGTAATGTTAACATACCGGGGGGGGAGACAGAAAAAGCAATGCCCTGAAAGAATCACTGACGGTCTAGGATTACACTGACTAAATAACTCAACATCAACGACCATCCTCCTGAGATATTAAAGCCAATAGGCAACCCTATATCCTTATCACATGTAAGTTCAGAATCTATGAAGTAACACTGCCAGCATGATACTATAAATCAAATTTACTTATTAGTAACATATCTTGATCCTGCTCAATCAAATTCTTTATGTTTAGGTGCAAGTTTTATCAAACTGTGAAAAGGGGGAATTTGTCATATCCCCTGAAGCAGAACAAATTCAAAGCAAGCTGCAGGCAGAACAAGCAAGGCAATAGTGTTTCCTACGGAATATATCCTGCCTGCAACAATTCTCTTTTTACAAAAAGAGAATTCTAAATTGGTTCTGTACAATTGCATGATATGGTAAAAGAAACTGGTGACTCTTCACATCAGCAGATCCCAAGCCACTCGACCCTAACAAATCTGGGATTTGCTTTACCTCTCCTCCCAGAGACGGGGAGGCAGCTCATGCAGACCCCAGAACACCACTATCACATGCGGCATCTAAAAATATACCACTTATTCCGCATAGCCTTGGTATCCCACACTAGCTTCATCTGTGTGTATTTAGGCAGTGACCTACACACATTACAATGCAGCAGTCTAACCACGAAGCACCAAAAAGCAGAAAAAACATATGAAGTTGCCATTAGTCTCAAATACACCATTCTACGTGCACTGATTCTCTGCTCTCTCGTGACCCTGTAGAAACAACATCTTTAAGCTGATGGAGAAGGCAAGGACTCCAGTAGCTTACAAGTGAAGAAAAACAGCTTAATTATATCTCACTCCTTTAAATCTTAACCTAGAGCCAGAAGACAAGATTGTCTTAAAAAGGAAGGATGAGCGATCATCCAAACTATCTTACCAGGAAATAAAATCTTGCTTCTATCAGCATTTGTTTATCCACAACCAAATAAGCAAGATGCAGCCCATCTGATTTTAAGCAAACCACCTACATTCACAGTTGAACTCATGAAAGGCCTGACAACAAAAGTAAAACTCAAGACTTAGACCATATGGTTTGGAAAGAGAGACAACTTCCAACCACACATATGAAGAATGAAAATTGCACAGGCATAAAAGTAATCCTGGTCTAGTCTGCAAATAACCTGCTACCTCTTCAATGCACTTGCTGTCAGCAAACAACAGGATGATTAATTAAGAAGGTTATTCACAGAAGTACTTTGAACAGATTTAATTATACTCAAACTCGGCAGAACTCAAGTATTGTACCTTTTCTGCATTTACAGTATGAACTGCAGTTTCACAATAAATTAAAAAAAAAAAAATCTCACCAATCTTGCAAGGAAAGAATTTTATAAACATCAATGTATTTGGCAAAGCAAGGCTAAAACTAACCAAATCCATGGCTCTATTCAACAGCAAGTCACTGTGGACATACTACAAATTAACCTTTATACACCAGAAACCAAGAGAAATTTCTATGAAATGACTGATGGTGATATAATTGTACCTCAAAGCATGAGTAAAACTTGGAAGAATATCCTTTTAAACATAATGACCTTTGCAAAATGAGGAAAAAATAGTTTAAAAGGTAGGTTACTGTTTCATAAGGCCGCTAAGTCCAAAACAACACTGGCATGACATTTAATTTGGTCAAAATCAGAGCAGGAATTAAAAAAAACCATACAGTAAGCTGGCACTCAACTCCCTAAAAGGTCTACTGGAAACTCATCAGCCCTTCCAGGTGCAATATCTGAAAGAACTGAAGAACAGCGAGATACTGTCTCCATATAATCAAAAGATCTACCTTATTAGTCACACACTATGCCTAAAAAATTCAAAGAAAAAAAATATTCAAACACATGGCTAAAACCAGTCATCATCTAACTTCTTTTCTCTTGTTCTGAAATTGTGAAGTCCAGAGGCTAGTCCAGCCTCTTCGGGGGAAAAACTCTGTAACAAAGCACGCATGCAATAAAGGCATTTGACAAAGACCCTACTGAGGAATGAAATAATTTTTTTCTAAAGTACATCCAGAACCTTGTTTACTTGAACCTCTGATTTTATAAAGGCCATACACACGATATGCACTGGAAGTATTTGCTAAGTTAGGAAAATTGGTTATACCTACAGAAGATTTTAAAACTGTACAACATTCAACAAGTATTAAATTATATTAAGTGAAAAAAGGAATGAAAGAACTGCTAAATCTCAGATAAAGTGAAAATTTACAAGGTATTCCAAATATTACAGAGACATAATTTTCTCTGCAAAGAATGTTTTCCCAATTGGCTCATTCATAAATTAAGCAAACTGTAACACAGTGACATACTATTTTTCCAAAGTCAATGTAATAATAGAATATTAATGTAAATTTGTTTTTAATTAAGAACTTAATTTGTATTGGGCTGAAGATGTTATTTAAAAAAAAAAAAAAAAAAAAGTTCTCTATAAACTGTTCAGGCTTTAACCCAGACAGCAGGCTCCATTATTTCAACATAAGTTCCACTCCTTTATTTGCCTTACTACTAGAAGTGGTTAAATTATAAGGCAAAATATGCTTGACCAGATCATATTTACTATAAGTTCAACTCTAATAATTAATCCAAAAGCAACAAGAGCCACCACAAATTCCACAGTTTCAGGAGAACCTCAACAGATCCCAGTGCAGTGAAATGTAACATTTAGATTCCTGCGTCGCAGACAATTTTTCAACAGGATGTACATTTGTAAGAAAAGTGCATTTCAAATCCCCAAATAGTGGACATCACACAAAACCAACCATGTTTTACGCTAGATCCACGCACTTTTTTAAACCTCCACTACAGCCCCAGCTTCCTGGAGCGCAAGGCACTGGGGTGTGCCAATGAAGATACCGATTTCAGTGCCTGTGCACCCACATCAGCCTCACGTGTGTATTACGAGAGAACTGCTGCCAGGGAATTCCCTGGAGCCCTTCCCTCCTCTGGTGTAGAGAAGCCTGACCCACTTGCCTTAGGGATCACACTTACTAATGCTGTAAAATTAATAAGGAACACAGTTCTTGTAAGCATGCCAGCATCTAGCACTTATGTACCAGGTAACTGAACACGTTCTGCTGCATTATTGCCCAACTGTTCCTCCAGTCAGTTATAATTACAGAATGACTTTTCACCAGCAATGTTAAGTTTGCAAAATAACCTCCACACCATGCACTTTTACCACACCTGAAAGTCACAGCCTTCAGTGTCATGTCTTTCTTTTTAAATAGGATATTCTTGTTCTACAGCTCTGAGTTTTGTCCTGTTTGAGGCGTGGGGGGGGTCTTATCAGTGTGTATATGAACACCTGGTGGGAGGGAATGAAGGAGCCAGACTCATCTCAGCTGTGCCTACTGACAGAGCAAGAGGCAATGGCACCAAATTGAAACACATGGAACTTCGTCTGAACACAAGAAAAAGAAAACAGAAAAAAACCTTTTTTTTTAATTCCTACTGTGAGGGTGGTCAAACACTGGCACTGGTTGCCCAGGGAAGTTGTGGACTCTCCATCTGTGGAGATATTCAAAACCTGACTGGATATAGTCCTGGGCAACTGGCTCTGGGTGACCCTGCTTGAGCCAGGGGTTCAACTGGATGGTCTCCCTTCCAACCTCAGCTATTCCATGATTCTGTAAAGAGCAAGTCAGGAGGAAACTAGCAGAAAACTAAAGCCATCAGCAGGACTACCTCCCACATCCAGGAACAGCTCGGGATCAGCACTCAGCTCAAATGACTGAGGTTCATAATGCTCACAAAATGACTGAGAGGCTGAGATAGGTGTAATATACTTCTCATTAAAACAAAACAGATCCATACTCTCCCTCTAGACATCATATATTATTTTGTAAGGATTTTCCTGCATTTAATACGCACAGACTCTTGAAATATATGACTAGCTGTAAAATTTGCAATGTCCACACATTTCACAGTTCACTCTGGCAGGATAGCCCAGGTAGCCAGATGCCAAAGCAAAAAAGATGAGACAGGAAATTTACTCCAACACCTTCCAACTTTTCACTAGGACAATTAACTTTTCTGTCGCCATCTGTGAACAGAAGATATCCTCTTTGTAGGTACATCTCAAAAAAAAACCCAAAACCAAAAAACCCCACCACCATCAAAAAAACCCAAACAAACCCAAAAACCACAAAAAAACTCCACCTCTAATGAGTGGCAGTTTTGAATACCTAAAGACATACTTGCAATATCAGTAAAACCATACTAGCTTCAGTCTTCCCTAAAGCACATCAATTAAGTGCACATATGCATGACTTCAAGGCTTTTTAGGTATAGTAAGAAGCAAAGATTATGTGGTAATTTAAAGACTAGTTTAATTTCAGAATTTGCTAAAAGAAGTTGGACTATTATAAATACTGTACTTTAACTTGTGAGCTACAAATACTATTTCTAAAAAGACTCTCTGTCCCTTTTTATTTTCTAAGCTCCCAGGCAATAAGATAAGTCATTTTTTTCTACAGCTCTTCATACATTTGTGCGCCATTTCTGTACTGCTCACATAGCCAGATGCAACCTGCCTATGCTGTAAGGAAAGCAGAAACACAGCTGCCTCCCTACGGCAAATTATTTGTCCTATAACTGATATCAAGTATATTTCCAATGGAAAGTCTCTCCCAGTTAAATCTGTTTATACATAATTTGAGCCGATACTCTTTGGTACATTCAGACAAAAAGCTCCCTGACAACTGTCAATGATTTTTCTCAATTTCACCTTTTTTTTTTCCCCCATCGAGTACATTTTGTGCTTTGTTCAAGACAAGACACTTTCTTTGCCAAGCCAACAGCTGTACTAAGACATAAGAAAAAAATGTTTTAAAGCCACTGATGGGTAGATAACCAGTATGGCAGCTCCATACTTGGTCCCCAGGACATGAAAAACACCCTCTGACAGGTAAAAAAAAAAAAGAAGCTTTGTTACTTTCTGATTTAACAAAGACACTGCTTACCCAACAATTATACCAAGTCTAGAAGATCACATTATTGTATAACTAAAATTTACAGACCTATGTATTAGAGTGGATTACAAACACATGAACAGTGTTAGGGTCCAGTCCTCACTCACTGAAGCTGTAGGACCAGCACTCCTGCAGTGTAGCTCAAGCAGGGACTGGAGCCCCAGGAGCCACTGGGCAGGAGACCAGGGCCACCTGAGGCTGGTCAGTACCATTAAGGTCTATTAATGTACTCAGGACTCTGACATACATCCATCATATGAACTTATCTTGCAACGCTGAAGAAAGATATTGCTCACTTCTTTTTACTCAGGTTTTTAATCCAAGAACTGCACTCTGGCAGTTGATGAACCTTTCATGGCTCACAGATTTATAAATTGTGCACTGCTTTGGTACTTCAGTCCAGGCTAGCTACATCATGAATGAAAATAATTATTCTCCACAGTTATACTGTGACCTAGACAAAAGGAATGTAATTGCAACTATCTTCCTACAACTCACATTGCTGAAGACTATTAATTTAAAAAACATGGCAGGAAGAGGTAACCAAGCCATCAGGGTCAAAGAAAGAGAATAATGGGGGGTTCTGCAAAAGCTTTCATCTCTGCTGCCCACCTAGCATTCAGAATTATTGATATGGCAACCTTTCAGGCATATCACAAATGAAACTCCATGGAAAATAAACCCAGCAGCAGCCATCTATAAAAGATGATGAAAAGACTGAGGCAAACTGACTTGAAACAAGCAGCAACCAAATATAGAGGAACGATGGTATACACCGCACTAGGTATCAACAACTTGACCACAAGGTAGGATTCTCGAAATAAAAGAAACCCTTCAATAGTTTCCCACCAGATGTAGTTTGCATTCTGTTTTCTTACCTGATCTGCTGCAATGAAATAGGTGCTTTAATTTGCTGATAATAATCAGGATATTTTTTCTTGGAGGGCAAGTGGAAAAAGGGTTCAGATATGAGCTGGCCCTGATTATTTCGGCAACTTCTAACTGTGTCATAAAGCTGATAAAGAGGATTAGAAGTGTCCATGAAGGAAGTAATGCTCTCTGCTTCGGATTCTCCTTCTTCATAACGAGCCGCAGCTGCACAGAGAAAAAGGAAAAAAGGGAAACTCAGCACAACAACTCCGAGCGGGTTTTCTGGTTGACTTTTCAAATGGATAAAGATCTAAACCAGAACAAAAACCAGTCCCTCAATCGAGGGTGTTCAGCCACTCTCTGGCAGTCAGATTCATACCTCAGAAAAGGACATCACAAATATATCTTATGAGCCTCAAGCTGACAAAAAAAAAAAAAAAAAGTATCTGGGTATGGAAATCTCTCTTATCAGATGAGACTTCAGTTCTGTCACTAGTAATACACCCTTGCCACCTACAAGTGCTGAGAAGTGTTCACATATGAGACTACATAACAGGACTATTCAACCACACACTACCTATAAAACAGCTACATCCTTATTTACCCATCAAACTATTAATACTAGTATGTGTGCCAAATACATTTGTATATTGAACTACTGCCATTCTGCTATCTGACAAGAATACTCAAGAAGAATACTCAAGAATACTCAAGAATTCTCACTACAAGAATAAAAATTGACAAACCATGTCTGGAATTTTCAAAGGTGCCTAGCCAGTTAAGCAAAATGGCCAAATTAATTTTTAATTTTTGCATATATATCAAAAAAGTGACTTCAAAACTTCTACAGTCCTTTAGACCATATTAATGACAGCTCAATTAAAAAAATCATTAAGTTTAGCAGAAAAAACTGACACTACAGCCTGAAGGTGCACCTCTCATATATGCAGCAAAATGAAGGAAGCATAAATATTTCAGAATTATTATACAATTAGCATAAACATTTCATAATAAAGTATTTACAAATTTTATAGCAAACCTTCCTAGTTATCTATATGAAACATATATTGTGCTTCAGGATTAGGATGAATGAAAGAAATGCTATGAAGAACTAACATTTATTGCAGATAAAATCAGGAGAAACATTACATGAGCAACAAAAACACAAAAGGAATGTTTACATGGCACCAGGCCTGCTGGAGACAGATGGGGTTCATCTGTCACAAAGGGGGGAAAAGGATTCTGGCTCAGGACTTAGCAGGCCTCGTTGAGAGCGCTTTAAACTAGATGCGAAGGGGGAAGGGGATAAAACCAAGCTTCCTAGGGATGAGCCTAGGGGTGGCATGCCTGTGTTGGAGAAGAGATCAACAGCCCAACTGAAGTGCATTTACACCAATGCACGCAACACGGGCAATAAACAGGAGGAGCTGGAAGCCATTGCGCGGCAGGAAAACTATGATGTGGTCACCATCACGGAAACATGGTGGGATGACTCGCACAACTGGACTGCTGCAATGGATGGCTACAAGCTCTTTAGAAGGGACAGGCAAGGAAGGAGAGGTGGTGGGGTAGCCTTGTACGTTAGAGAGGGTTTTGATTGTCTAGAGCTCAATGAAGGTAATGATAAGGTTGAGTGCTTACGGGTAAAGATCAGAGGGAAAGCTGATAAGGCAGATACCCTGGTGGGAGTCTGTTATAGAGCACCCAACCAAGATGAGGAAACAGATGAAGCATTCTACAAGCAACTGGCTGAAGTCTCACAATCTCTAGCCCTTGTTCTTGTGGGAGACTTCAACTTACCAGATCTCTGCTGGAAATACAACACAGCAGAGAGAAAGCAGTCT